TCATACAACCCTCACTCACTTCACAACGAGCACGGCATTGCTGCCGTGATTGTAGGGAGTATTCACTACAAAGAGGGTGGAAGATGGCCGGAGCCTGCTCATGGCGGCGACGAAACTCTCTGAGAAGAATAGACCCTCTCATGCTAGCCTCAACCGCCGCACTGCCGGCATATATCGGTATTGGGCTGCTGGAAGTGTGGCGAATGGCCTGTACGTGTCATTAGATTAATTCGCTTGTTGTCAGGAAGGTATTCTTCCGCCAGCTGCCTCTTCAAATATCCCTCTAGACCACTACGCCATTCACTGCCGCAATATCCGGAGGCTCCAAATCCGCCTCGTTTCCGATTTTGCCTCCTTCCTTTTAACGGGCGCTGTGAAGGTGGCGGCTTTTCCTCCTTTTCTGCGAAGATATTCTATCATATCAGCGAATTCCACCCCTTCGCCTCTCATCCTGTCCGTGGCCCAGCCGGTTACCGATTGGCTCTCCCCGGGGTCATATCCCTGGTATAATCCAATTGCAGAGCAGGTCCGGGTTCACCATAGAACTTCGTTTCACCGAGGATTGATACTTTTCGCTGTAGCGCTCTATCGCCTTGCTTAGCTTCTCTTCTTCGCAGTGCCGCCATAGCCAGATCCCGTCCTGGCGTGAGAATAAACTTCCACCATAGCGCTTCTCGGGAGGCTTGCACCTACGTGATGCATTCCGTTGAAGCAGAATCTTTGCTCAGATGTATTCACCAGCGTGGTGCATCCGCTGTTACTAAAGAAGACACCAATAGCAACTGGAGTTCTTTCGGTGAGTTTGGGAGGGGAAGCTATTAGTCGAGGAAGCAAAGGAACTACTAACTGCCTCCGCATTGAGACGCACATCGTATCTGGTTGGCTGATAAAGGCAGAGGCACTCTTGCTTAGTATCGTTGGTTGAAATGCGTTTTCCATCGGATTGGACGCCGAAATGAAGCTTGGTTCTGCTCGGGGCGACTCCCGGCCGTGAGTTAATTCTTCACCTGATGGCAGATCGTGCTCAATTTCGATCATGCAGGAGAATAGGGATGGAGTCTTTGTAGGGATATTCTATATTGTTTTTCTCTTTCTGGTGACTGGTGCTACGCAGAAGGCCCACCTGCAAGGGGTTGCGGTTTGCCTCTCGCTCCTGCCCGCCTCAACCACACGGGGCTACCACGTATAACGGGAGAGCATTCTCCTTTTTGAAGGACTATTTCGAGTTGCTTGAAGCCAAAAATTAATGGTAAGGGTTTCCCCAAAGCACTTGACCCCGTTCACCTGTCTCCTGTTAGTTTCGGTGCAGCAGCTCAGCGCCTGGGGTTGTGGGGCAGGAGGCGACCTGAAATGAATCGCAGTGCAGCTCGTTGCAACCACTGATTGCAATGTGCAATGCGTTTGCTCCCGCCCCGTTCAAGGAGTAAGGCGAGTTGCAACGACGGCAAAGGCTCGAGGCAAGAGTTCCCTCCAAAGCATCTGCCCTCCCTCACCTCTCTGCACGTATCGTGGGAGTTCACCTAAGAACCTGGGGCTGCGGCGCAGGAAGTAACCAAACAAGAGTTGCAGTGCACCTCGCCCGAGTTCGCGATGCATGCCAACCTCGCATGCGAGCACAGAGAAGCTTCAAAGGAGCTTCCTCTACTGCATACTTTATCTCTGTAGACACTTATTGAGCATTTGTATTTGATTGTAGGCAGTCTATCAAGGCCATGTGAACGTTCGTCTGCTAGCTGCAGGCAGACCATGCTCCACTGTGTGTCAGTGGACTGCTGGGATATGCACAGTACTCCTGTTTTCGGGTACACTCCCTTCAGCTCTCTACTCCAGCCTGCCTAACTCTTCAATTACATCTTGTTTTATTGCATCTCACAGCTGCTTCACAGCTTGGCATTCCATTCCGGTGTATGCGCAGAGGCAGCCAAAAAATAGTGGCTGGGGCTTGGGGCCGTGGGGTGAGAGCCGCGACCACGTTATCGCCTTTGTAGAAGTCTTTTCTGCCTTTTAAACTGCGAAGGATTTAGAACTCTCAAAGGAAAGTACCACAGCTTCTCGTCCTCATCTTACTTTCTGTCACCTTTACGGCTCCTCCAGGGCATGCAGCGCTCTGCTTATGAACTGCTTATACTGCTCCTTCGATTTACTTTCCCCCCATTTCTGTAGCCCTGTCACTCACTGCAGGTGGTTTGCTGCGTAGTACACACAGAAGAGGGCGGAAAGAAGGGCGATCTCCAGAAGGGGGCGGGGCGCCGCAGGCCATTTGGGAGCAGCACTCTACGAGATTGGCGAAACGCGGGCGAGTTCCAGCTGTGCTGGAAGCACAAGCTGGCGGTACGTACATACTGCACAGAGGAGAGAGGGAAATCTATCGGGTTCCGTCTAAGCTTTGGTAGTTATCCTTGCGTGCAGTGAACTCTCTCGGCACTGGTTGACCTCATATCGCTGTGAAGGGCTGTATTCCCCACCAATTCGACGAAGCCGTTTTCAAGTGGCTGGTGAAGGCTGAAGGGAGGGGCAAGTCTCTACAGGGATTTCATCTTCAGCCCCCATCAGCCGCCCTGTAGGCCTCTGCTTGGCTGGACATCCGCGCTCGTGCATTCGTGGTGTTCGACCTTCGTTGCATTTCCAGTCCCAAAAGAGGCAGCAGGAGCAGCAGGGACAAAGGGAAGGGAGTGCGACTTGCTCCTGCTTTGGCAAGATGGCGGACAAGCTGCTGAACCGCAAGGGCGACTTAATTCGCGACCAGCTTGAGTCTAAGCCTGTCCCTATGGACACGAACGACCCCATGTACGACAGCGAAACGGAGGTAAGCTAGGGCATCTGCTTCCACCTTACACTGCGTGGGCGAACATCTGCCTTGTAATAAGAACAGGATCCAGACAGAAGGCCGTCACCGGGCTTTTGCGTTCTTCAGTTCTACTATTTATATTGGCGTGTACTGCAGGACGACAACTGCTTCTACCAAGTGATTGAAGTAGAGGCATGCGATTATCGCTCCACGATAAACAATCAAAGCTGCTTCTCCGTGTCACGGGAACCTGGGGCACTTGTACGCCCCCCGAAGACCGCGGAAGAGTTCCGCACTGCTGTGGATGAGACGCTCAAAGGTGAGAACAATGCATCGTGTCCTTTCTTCTGGCATACCAACGCTGAATGGAAGTTCGCAGTCTGCTTCTGAATATGCATATCTGCACTCATGAGTAGACTACGCAACTTGATGCCAGGTCGGCAGACTCGTTTGAGTGCCTTGAACGAGCCATTTGCACTTTTACGTGCAGCTTTCTTTGCCAATGCGGACTCGGTCGATCTGGCCGCCAGGCTTCAAGCCCTGGACTGTAGGTGTTACCACGACGCTTTTGTCGTTTACGCCGTCCGAGCCTCCCTTGACAGGAATACAGAAGACCAACGGCGAATGAGTGCAGAATTTGCACTTCTCGCTGATAAGGGTCTTCTCACGAGGCAGCAGCTCTGTAGAGCATTCGAGAAACTTGTGCAAAGTGCGGATGACATTGAAATGGTAGGCTAGCACAGTCAATGCAAATGCTCTATTGTAGAAGTGAAATGGTTCTGAGCGCTTTGCGTGTTGTTACATATGGAACGATTGGTTTCAACGTATGCTTCCGTCTTTATAATGACAAGTTTGTTTGTATTTGCCGCCGTCACGATTGGTCAGAGGGCACGCAGAATGCTGACGAAGCGTACCGAGCTGCTTGGCAGGTGTCTGTATTTGCGCACAGTCTACAGTCAATTATGTTCCTCGTGGATTTTGTTCAGGATGTGCCCGACGTAGCGAGCCGACTGTTTGCGTTCATTGAATGCGCATTGCTTGACAACTGCATCGGGGCCGATGTTCTCAGTCGTCTGCCCACCTCGTTCGTCTCAAAGCTCGACCCCGCGGTTGTTGCAAGCAACATAGTCGTGCAGGCGGCAGTGCGCCAGTAAGCCTTTCACGAGGATGAGGAGGCAGGTAGCCTAACTATGCAACATAATGGCCTGTCGAATTTATATGAAAGTGGGAAACAGCCGCTGGCTTTGCACGTCTCGGCGGGTGCCCATATGCGCAGGATGCAAGAGTTTAAAGCTGCTCTTTCTGAATTCTTGGAGGACGTTTTCGAAAGTGAAGGCGTGCATGAGGCGGAGCTTTTCCTTCAGGCGCAGGACAAGCCTCTTTGCCAGCATGAATTTGTTGCGAAGCTCGTCGTAGCTTCTTATTCAAGGGGTTCTAGGTAAGGGGGTGTTGCGTTGCACATTTCGTAGCGTCCTCTGAGGAAGCGATGAGAAGTGCAAGGCCAGCAACCGGCTTTTACCGCAAGCCCTGGGGTAGCATGTTACCCTTTGAGAAGCTGTGTTCTTTGTAGACACTGTGCGGACCGCTCGCCAGGGGAGCAGCTTATGGCATCGGCACTTAGTATTTTCCTGGACGTGCTTCGAAAGAGCCCAGGCTTGGATTGCTTACGGCATTGAGTTTGCTTGGAAAGACGTCGGTCGATTGTTGGAAGACTTAGGCGACGCACACGATTGTGGTTGATGTGCTTGGCAGGGACAGAGAGCTCGCGAGCAACATTCTGGACCGGCTTTACGGGAAGACATTGAAGCCTGACGACCTGCAGGTTGGATTCTCTCGCCTTGTTGGAGCAGTTGATGACCTTGCATTGGATGTTCCCCAAGCCCACGATTTCCTGACAAAGAGTTTGGTAGGGGTTTCTAGACTGTACCCTTTGGCCCTGTATTGTTCTCGCTCCCCGTGGATGTCAGAGAGCTAGGCGGAGTCTTCCCACGCTGTTTACTCAGACTACGCTTATTCTGCTTCGTGGAGAGTTATTTAGACGGAACCCTTAAGCCCGGGCGGTGCATCGAATTTGTGCTGTGTTCCTACTGTAGGATTCCCGCAGTGTTATACTTGCGTGCAGGCGCGGGCTGTGGTGGATGAGCTGTTGCCCCCAGCGTTCTTGGGAGATAGGTATAGGCTTCATTTTGGCGGAAGTGGAGGCATGCAAGTCCTTAAGAAGGCGCAAAAGTGGCTTTGCGAGCAGCCAGGAAAGGCCGCGAGTGAACGCTTTAGAAAGGTACTTGAAGTAGTTGCTTCCAAAGGGGCTCCGCCTCATGTAGCTGCTGTGTGCTCATCACAGCATTTCCGTTGTTTTGTTTGCGACATAGGTGGTGCCTTGGAATTCATGGCTGTGCATGGCTTTTGCGTACACGTGGGCTTAAATGCATTCATCCCTAGCTTGGTTGATGTATCCGTCTCCGCGTGGCTTGAGTGTAACTTCAGATCTGGACAGGAACGGACCCAACTATGAGAGAAGCGCGCATTTTCAAGCACGAACTCAAAGCATGCATTCGCAAGTACCTCGATACGCTCGACGCTGCAGAGGCCGCTAAGGCAATTATAGATATGAACCTAGCGCCGGACCAGGTTAGCAATGCTGCGATTGGAGCACGAACCGTTTTGACTGGCTCTGTGCCATCTTAGCAGAGTTTGCACCTCACGACGATAGTTGAGAGTATTCGGTGAATGTAGGGGATTCATGGACGCTGGGCTTATCATCATGTGGGTACCACAGGATTCAGAGGTTGTACGCAAGGCTTATATTTTTTCAATGGAACGGTCGAAAGACCCAGAGCAGGCTGCAAAAGCTGTTGTGGGGCTACTCGAGCAATTACGTGCACTAGGCGAGCTCGACCAAGAGTGCATTATACAGGGTCTGGCACAAATCAAAGATCTCCTCCCTGACGTAGGTCTTATACCAACATTTTTTTATGCAGATGATACCAGAAGTCTCATACATGCAGCACGTCTCAACATTCGACATGGACTTCTGCACTGATATGCGTACTGCGTTTGTCCCCACTCAGATCGAGTTGGACGTACCCAACGCCCAACAGAAGATTTGCTATATGGTTGCTGCCTCTCGGAACAAAGGCCTTCTGCCTGCCGATTATGTATTTGCGGAAGAAGCAGTTGAAGATGGGCAGTGAACCAGTGCGACAGCGCTTCCATTTTTTGCCCTCGTGAGCTCGTACGCACTGAGCAGGGAGAGCATCAGGACTGACGGTCGGCGGGGCTTGCTCTCAATTTGTAGTCTGAGTGTTCGAGAAGACCGATATCCTTCGTGAGCTGACCGTTCGATAACGCAGTTTATACTGCAGGGCTGTGCAGGCGCAAAGCTGGCTTGAGCCCGCCCTAGCAGTAATGTTTCACAGTGCATTGTATGTGCTGGCACGAGCCAGCGTAGCACTATGGCATCTTTCCCCTCTGCGCGACGTGCGCAGAGAGAAGCAGGAGGCAAATTGCAGTGGGTATTGACTAAACCATATTCTTCGTCACGCGCGTAGGGATGGGCCGTATAACCCCTCGCCACGCGGGACCTTCGTGTCCCCACATCGCTCCCCGCAGTAGCGAGCGACGACCAAAGTCGGTATCCGCACCTGCCTTCAAACCGGAATATGTTGCCTTGAATTGCGGCATGGTACGGAGGCGGAGTAGTTGGTCGGGGTCTAAGCAGAATGTGTCTACTACAGATAGAAATACTTTTTGTTGGAGCATGTGCGCGCATCCATTCAAAACACACTGTCACAGGATAGTGCCAATAAATCTTAACGCGACAGCTTGCATACCGTCCATTCTCCCGTACGTTTTTGCCGCGTTGGCTCCAGTGCCGACGATACTCAAGGAGCTGCTCCGGCTCTTCCTCCAAAGCTGCCCTATCGCAGCCAGAAGCAAACGGCGCTTCGAGTAAAAAGAACACGGTGAAGACGTCTGGCAAGCGTCCATCAATGTACAGTGCCATCTCCATGGCAAAAGACACAAATCTGTGATTGCCATTTAAAAACGACTAAGTTCGCGGCAGTCTGGCGCTATTGGGGACCCTGCCGATGACATTCGGCGCACTGGCAATGTGCGGCGTGTGAGTACGTTATAATGAACTCCGGCAGAGCCTGAGCCCTTTCAAAAACTACAAACTCAACTCCGTCCACGACACCGCCTCGTGTCCGGCATTCCGCCATCACTGCAAACATTTTAACAGGATAAACGATGGCAGCAAACAACAAACAAGCATGTTCAGCACGCTCTTGATGTGCACTGGCTTGCCATAACCTGGAATTGGGAGTGCGCTTGCAGCGATCTCGCTGGGCTACTAGTCACCAACAGCAGTGGCCTCTGCGATCAGTAATATGCAAGTCTACATGCAAGTTACCTGAATCGTACGCCAACTTTGCTGTTGCGGAATTAGGCTTGTTGGGGGGCATGCGTGCATCTGGCATCGGAGAAAGAGCCTTATATACTTCTCCTAGGCAGACCCGCGCCAGGAGTAGACATCGCGTAATAGGTTGCGGAGTTGGCGACATCACGTTGGGATGGAGCCCCTTCGATCCAGTTTGCTGCGCGCTCCCCCCTGTCGTGTCAATCCTCTGCTGCAAGTTCGCCGGTTGCAAATTCGAACTCTTTTGCCTGTGTAGTGCCTGACCAGATACCGAGGAGTCCTTCGACCGGCTTGTGTTCGCCCCGATGCCCTGCCTGGTGAGTTTTGCGCATACTGCTCGGAAGCGACCCTTCTCCTTGTCTTTCTTACTAGTCCCATCTGGTGTGATTGGGGGTGCAGAGTTTGTCGCTGCAGTGCGCGCGGCGTTTGCGCTTCCCCTCCCCGAAGGCAGCCAGCCACCCTTGCCAAATCGAAGATTACCATAGGTTTTGCTTGAGTTATGATTTGTGGTGCCCCCCGACTTTCCCCCCGTACCCATATTTGTTGGAATACTTGTGAGTAGAGCAGAAGCTGGGGGCACTCCGACTGCTGCTGGTTGAGTCAGGCGAGCGGGAAGGAACGGAAGGGTTGGCAAAGATATGTGAAACGTGACGGCCGACAGTGCCGAGGGTCCAGCTGCCCGGGTCGACAAGTCGTTGGGGCGCGTATACAGGTCTGCTTTGCTTGCGTGAGGGGAAAAGTAAGTGCCTATGCCGAACAGCTTACCTAAACAGGGAGAGCACCAAGACAGGCCCCTGAGCGCCATAAGATTTACCCAGACGCACTTCTGCGCTACTTACTACGGCTGGGAATGTGGAAAATACTAACGCCACCACTATTTCCAACAAAACGTTCAAGACATTACCTCCATTTTCTCCTCCTCTACGAAAATCAAATCCAGAGAGAGCTATCAATCCTGCACGCTCTTCCGTGCATCCATGAAATAGGAAATATTCATTCAAATTGGCCTGCAGGGCAAAGTGCATAGAATGGTACATGTTAAAGTGTTGTCTTGCTCATAACTAGCCACGAACTGCAGAAATGTCGCCAGTTAGTAACACAAGTGAGGGAGGAGTGATATGCTATAAGACCACATCAACTACCTAAATAATAGAGGCACCCAAGTGTTGGCGTTCAAGGAATCCGGGAGCTTGCCTGCGTTGGATGCACTTGAGCCTTGAGAATCGGATTGGGAATAGCCTCATCGAGGCTGCATCCCCCATTGGCATTCGTCAGCAACAGCATGCTCCTCTCGTGGAGGTAACGCCGAAGCAAAAGACCATTGCAAATCCTTTCAATTTTGTGAATCTGCAGCCACAGTTTGCGCGCAAAGCAAACACGGTGGCTGGTACATTGAATACCAGCAGGAGCCATTTAAGAATGCCTTTTTCTCTCGGCAGACTCACCACAAAGATGGGGGGCTGGTGGAAAGAAAAGCTATTGAAACGGTTAGGATTGCCATGTGTAATCTTTCCATCTTTCATCACCAGATACGGCCTGTACGACTCCAGCAAGCCATGATGCTGTGTCGTTCCGACGGGAATGGATGCATAGTCTGACAGAGACACAAAGCTGCCAACTGGTGGGCGATACACAGCATAGGGGGGCACAGATTCTCTGTGCTCTGCAAGTGAAGAGTACACCTGTGCATCGCGCCACAACAATCCACACGAGCCTACACACAGGTAAGACATCCATGGACAGCTCGACAAGCAGCATCCTAGAGGTTCCTCTGGCATTAAGCTGCGTTGAGAAGGCTGGGATCACCAATTAACATCCAACAGAGGGGCTTCGGTGGAACTATGTACTATGGTAACTGTGAGAATATCCCCCGGTCTATCCCCCGTCTCTGCTCACGGCCGCGACGCAAAACTGGTAAAGAATATCCGAAGGAGAAAGCACTGCTCGGGCATTTTCGTAATTTAAATTCCTTCCCATGCTAAGTTCAAGGGACGAAAAGAAACGTAAAACATGCAACTGCGGGTGAAGCGAATGAAGCATATTCGTCCGACACTTCCTCAAGCTGCGTCCGCCACCAGTGGTTTCACGGCCTGCACCCATAGTCCTGTTGGAGCTTCGCCTGTGCAGTCGCTGGCTTTTATCCCAGTTACATTCGAGGGAATTGCCCTCCACGCTTGCGCAAGGCATGCTGAAGCTCCTGAGAGGTCCGCCCGCCTCCTCCACATCTCCCGACTGTCCGCTGAGCAATTCAAACCGGACTTCTTGGATATTCGAACACTGAGAACAGCGCACCGACTGTGTCGCCAGTTCACCCGGTAACGCCGAGGCCGCCTGCGAAGGAAATCGACATCTATTCGTCCTGTGTCCTGCGAAGGCCCTTGGTTAAAAAACCAAACCAAAAACCCCGCAATTATGCATGTAGAGTAGGGCAGCAGACGACGTGAAATATAATAGTACCTTAACTAGAGAGTACAAACTAGTCCATGGCCCTGGAGCATTTTCACAACTTCCACCGCCACCACCTCCGTTATCAGAGAACTCAAGTGTGGCGTCCACGTCTTCAAAAAAGCATCTTCCTCTGTGGCAGCGGCCTGCACTGCACTCATGACCCCTAATCTGCAAGGGTGCAGCGGGCGAGTCCCTTCCTGACCCCAATGATGCGAAAGTGTTATTTCTGTCATCTTCCGCTACTCGGGGTCCAGAAGTAGGCAGAACTGAACCAAGGGAGCTTGGAGACTTATTCACTGGAGACTCTGCCAGTAACAAGTTCTTGGCAGCCAAAGGTTTGAGAGAATGCATCCCTGAAGAGGCTGGAACGCGATGTCCTGAGTCGCCACTGGCAGTCGCGCTGCGAGCGCACCTCGGATTGCCCCCCGCGGAATACTCAGTAGGCTCGCTTGCACGCAACGCAAATTCCCTCGATGACGCAAGAAAAGGATTGCCACGTTGCGGGCTATTTATTTCACATATCGACAGTGTGCGCTCAGCACTAAGCGAAACTCGGTGCCCGTTGTGCCCCTTGCAGTAACAGCATGTACACGGCCTTATTGCTGAGTTCACCAGGGCTGTGTCCACTGTTTCCATTATCGCGGACGAGGCGATAGCAGACTGCGCGGCATTTGCCGCAACCCAGGAGGCTGCTGCTTTGCGGACGCGATGGTCACTGCTGCAAAGAGCAGGCAGTAACAAGCCGACAGCTGTGAGGTGCCGTAAAAGTGTTGTTGCTCGCCGATCTGCTGTTCTGGTTGCAAAAAGGAATCCTGCTTCCCCGGAGCTCTTTCTGCGTTCATTTATCCAACCATCAACGAGCCTTTGGCGCACAAGGGAGCAAAACAATGCCGAAAATCAGAGTGGAGTTGCCATGTGCCCGGTGCATCTGCTGTGTTGGGCAGAGATGTGATAAATAGCTACAATGTGGACCGAATCATGCGGACTCGCCACCACTAACGGGGCGGCTTCCGGCGCACTACCGCAAATACAGTGAATGGATCCGGTGCTGTTGGCCTACCTGAGGCGCACAAGCCCCTCTGCGTTAATTTTTCTTTCGTACACTTCAACTAAAGTAGCAGGGGGCAGAGTGCGGCGGACCTGTCCTTCAATCTCTAGTGCAGGCCTTACATTTACCAAGTAGCCGTCAGCTGCAGGAAACAAATAGAGAAGATCTTCGAGCACGACGTACTGCAGGCTACTGAGCCCCTCTTGAGGAAGCTTGAATGCACACGTAGCTTGCTCGCTTTCTCTGAAAATGAGCTTACCGACTATTTCGTAGAGGACTGGACGGTCGTACGCAACCTCGCATTCGTCTACTCGCTCTATAAGCCCGTCAACAGTTACCCAACCCTCGTCCGTGCACGCGCGAAGATGCACGCGCCTGTTATGAGTGAAGTAAGACGGATTTCTCTTCGCTTTCTTACCGCAAAGGCGTGCAACGGGCACTGCATGGAGGTTATCGCTCTCGCCAAGCCCTGAAGTGCCCAGTCCCGCTATCATACAGTCTTCACTCGCTTCCAGGCTGCCGCATGGCGGGACACACGAGACTAAACATGCGTCAAGAACAGGGAAGACCTGTCCGCGTAAGAGGCGTCCGACTGTGGGGGACCCCATGTGAGGAGTCGCGCTGCAGCAGCATACACGATTCGGCTATAGCGTATACTCTATACTACCCCGAAACAAGCCTTTTAGCAGGTAGTTACTAGCAAGGGAAACCTTGCTTGTGGCCTTCCGGAGGCAGTTGTTTTGCTGCTTCAGACTGGCAAAGCACAAATAAGCAGAAGTGTCAGCTCACCCTACAGGTATCGCACGAGCACCCACAACGCGAAACAGCATAAAAGAATGCTCTAGTGGGTTGAGACCTCCAACGCGAACGTTGCTTCGGGTGACTATTCTGCTAGAATCGGAATTCATGCTCTGCGTCCTGTTGATGCATGAGGTTTTCTCCCCACGCAAGCTGCTAGCATTCAAAAAGTGAGACTTTGTTGCTTCTTGTAGGGATGCTTCAAGTTTACGCATGGATGGTTCCGATACTAGCTTTCCTAGGCTACTGTAGCTCGTGCGCTCCTCTGCCAGCATGGCACATTCCTGGAAACTGAGAAAGCGGGTGGCACGACAAGCGTAAACGGTTCCCCAACCGGTCGAGAAGGCATCCTGAAGTTCAACTAATCCATCTTTTTCTCCATCACAATCAACTGATATGTGAATTTTATCTGGAGCGGAACTGCTACGGATACGACATTGGCCGGGCGTACTGTCCCAACCTTGTTGCCGATTTGCAACTGCAGTCGAAACTTTCACGAAGCCAGGTACACGATGCCTGAACTTGGGGGCGCCAACTTCCTCATGCGCTGTCTTCCATGAGGCAACACGGGCGGGCTGCTGTAGTCGGATCATATGCAAGGACGCCCCTGTTAGCCAACCCTCAGCCGTCTTCAGGCGCAGCAGATAAGATGCCTGTGCAACATGAGTTCTCATGTCAAGCACCTGAGCCAAGACACCGGTATCGTAAAGCAGGTGGCAAGAAACATACACACAACGCCTACTTAGCTCCTAATTGTACGAGATGTGAAGCATATACCTCTCGGGTATACTTTAGCGCTACTTGAAGCTGCACAGCACAGCCACGTAACAGCAATTACATTTCCTTCCAGCCATGAACAACGGGTGTTCGGCATCATGATTCTCCCAATGCGGAGTTTGAGCTGTTTATGGGCGCTTCGGGCAATGAGATCCGGCCTACCTTGAAGAATGTCCCAGGAAATACATATCCTAGTACGTCTGAACTGGGTTCTAACGTGGGCTCCACGGGTAGCGGTTGTGTAGAGCAGCTTCTGTATATCAAGGCGAGTCCCTGAAGCAGTAGCAGACATACACGTCATACATACAAGGTACAAAACATCAATGCATACAAATGATGACCATTTTCGCCCACAGTTCTTTCACAAGTATAGCCCCAAGAACCGGTGCCAAGGAAACGCGAAGAAACGCTGTGCAGATGGCAGGCGACACACTTCATTCGGCAGCGGGTGGTGGATCAGAGCTGCAATAACGTCCTCCTCCATGTACTCCAAACAGTTTGCGTAGGCCATGCACAGCGGCCCTCCCTTCTGAGAGTAGGCTGAACCCTGCCAGGGGCGAGCTCTAAACTCCTCTTGGTCTCTGGCAGAATCCACATTCCCGGATCCCATAGCGATGCCCTCGGCATCCGTCACACATTTGCTTGAGGGATTCAAAGCTTGTGTAACAGGCCTTTCTTGCGAAAAGCCAGCATTTCGGTCCTGAGGCCTATCCAGCCAAGGGGTCGGCACCGAGCTACCTACTTGGCCGTCGCTGGGTGCTGGAGGCTGAAGGCGCCCCTTGTAGCACAGCCAAGCCCGCCGCAGCCTCCTACGGCGTTCCCTGTGCCTGCTGGAAGATCGCCGATACGACCTCCGGTGCGGGTAGTCACAAGGGTTGCTGGGGTCAGTGGCGGTTACCAGCCAGGATCTCCTCTCGTGCAAGCTGCTTATGCGGGATCCCCCAGTGCCAAACCTTCCAACGTGTTTCTTCGATTGTGATGCCCCCATTCCTTAAGTATAAAAGGGCGCAGGGTCAATCACTGCAGTTAGGCAAACCCGATCGTCTAGGTACAATTCGATTTGAATGTTGTTCTCCCGGGCCCGCGACGGGCTCAAAGCCACCTTCCAGCGAGTGTGATGCGTTATAGATTCAGTTAAGCTGCACCGAGAAGGAACAACATCGGAAGAAGGGCATCATTACAATGTCGGAACCCCCATCGTGTTGCACCAGCACTGGACCGGTAAGCATTGCACTAGCTCACCTCCCGACGATCAAAGGGGACGGGAACAACAACTTTCAGCCCCAAAAATTTAATATCCTTCACCATCAACGGTTTTTCATGGATAGTAAAGAACCAGGCAACTGGAAAAATACACGGATCCGCCTGTGCCCCGCCCCGGAATATACCTGGCAGGCTTCTGGGGGGCAAGACAAACGGACCATTAGCGGACTGCTAGTTTCTCGCACAGGAGTAGAGCTCTACTACAGCTTGCTTACTTCTAGAAACAAAGGATTAATCGACTGAAGAGCATTAAGAGCTAATACATTCCAGTCGGGGACGGGAATTTATCCTCTCCTCTGTCCACCAGTCACCGGCAGCCCCACCGCCCGTCTTAGCAGTGGGTTAGGTCTCTAGTACACCATCCATTTGGCCCTCACCAAGTAGGCATTTTAAGTAATATGCAGCTTCCATTATTTTCACGCCGCATAAATATGTTAAGCGGGCGAAACACGACGCTACTTCCCGTGGCGGCTCTATGTTTTCACGCCGCCGACTCTTCAGACACGTCATTCTCCCTGCTCCACATGGGGTTTCAGGCTTCGGGCATTCCAAGCAGACGTATTCATGCAGGGCGCCAAGCTGCTGGTCACCTTTACCGACAGCGTTACTGCTCTACTGGTATATTAATCGGATGGTGCTGGCTACCAGTGCGGTCTTGCGACCCCCTCCTTGGTAAATGATTGGGCATACTCTTCTAGTAGTTACTCGTATCCCGCTATTCGCACTATTTGAGCAAAGACTCTGCAGAATGCAACCCCAAACGCCACCATAAAAACCGATGTAGGGGAGTGCTCCTTCCACGTTCGAAAAATGAGCACTAGCACTAGTTTGTTGCTGTGCAATGGGTCACAGAAAGTTCACACAAAATAGGAGCCCGTGGGCATCCGTCCTATGCTTTGGAGGTTAACGGCACCCCATCGAATAGAGGAAACCGGCCCTCAATGGCTTCATCAGGCTTCAATGGCCCTCTAATTGCGTATCAGGTATTGGAAGTGGTGAAGTAAAGGTCTCTGTAGGTAAGGAATGCATCCAATACACTGCGAGAAAACGCATACGCAAGAACCTCACAACCCATAACGAAATACACAAATAGCATGACACAAGAAAGGCTGCATTGGAAATGACGGCGAAGGGTATTTTTGCATTAGCCACTCATGCACTGCAATAAGTACTTACAATACTCAAGCATCGCGAACACGAACTTGCGCACACACGTGAGCTTTAGGAGCTACATAAAACGATGGAGGCTCACTTGAAATGATTAAGAAGCGGCACACGCCGCACCACGAAGTCAATGGCTTCGACAGGCCGCGCAAGGAACTTGTCGAAAAACGGGGGACGCAGTAAGGCGTAAGGCAACCCTGTTAGCCTGCATGCAAAGCAACACAGTTCACCCCCAAACATCGGGTAATCTTGGGAAGCGACAAGACGCAACAGAAACAAAAACTGGAGATACCAAATAAAAGAAGTCCACTCCACTCACCGGCGATGAAGTTCCGCAGCCTCAACAGGTGAAAGATGCTCCATCACTTGCGGAGAACCGTGCAACAGCGAGATAGAGTTGGCCTCGATAACTGCATGATGCAACAACACCTCTGCAACAGTTAACAATGTATGAAACCAACGCCTCCAACCTAAGCGTTTCTAGAGTGCCAGTAGCCGCTACTCTATGACATGCCCCTGCAACTGTTACAAACAACTAGCAGAAATGACGCCGTGAATGACGGCGCTCCAGACAACTCACAAATGGCTACCAGCCACGGAGTCCATGACTTGGTGCTCTTGGCCCGCCTTAAAAGATAGAGGTGAATAAACGGACGAATATGGTACAGTACCTCCCCCAGGACGGGCCTGTGAATCGGAACTCAGACACTGTCGCAAACAATTACGCAAGAACTGTATAGCCCCAGCAACAGCACGTTGTCGAAAAGAATTTGACGATCCACTGGCCGCAGTCTATAGTATGTACAAGCCAGACACAAATGTCTCGTCGGTGTGTCACATGCTGGTGGTACGCAGTAAAATGAGAATACCTCCAAGCAGTGGAGTGCATAAGATTCAAAAGAACGCGTAGACGAGACGGGGATGTATTCGCCTTAAGCTCATTGAAAAGCCACAAAACCACGAGAAGCGCCCACTGCTGAGGAAGCTGCTGTTCAGCAGCTGCAGTAATCTGTGCCTGATGATCGTCGGCCACTCTGAGAACACGCCAACAAGCTTGGAACAAGCCGCCGGTTTGAAGACACGAAATACAACCAAACAATGGTGCGACTATTGCTGCTTGCTAGGGCAGAGCCAAGGAACGGTAACGCAAGAGATGGAGGACGGAAGCCTGAAGGCTTGGTGGCATGCGCGGGGTATCATGGGCGAACGAAGTTTATGACAGAGGCAATCACTATGAAACACGATCGCCTGGCGAAGCAAAATGGCGACTCCCGCGTACTGGCGCGCTGCAGATGGAAGGGGTGGTATTTTCCTGCCGGTGCGTCGACCGTAGAAGGGACGGAGCTTCTCACTATCGGATATGATCTAAAGAAAGCACGCCACACATGAGCATAGATGCAACACGTTCCTATTTAAAAGACGGATACGAATCGCAGTGGGCCTCGAAGCGCTACGGGTAGATTTTTGGAAAAATATCTAGATGCGCCATGGCTCATCCAGAACTCCCTATGAAGCACAACTTAAAACGAACCCGTTTCTCTTTCTGCGTCGCGAGGGCCTGCGATATGCTTTGTTCGTCGCAGTAGAAGGCAAAGGGAGTTAAGGCACGTAGCACCAGCTTAAGAATGAGCTTCAGTAACTCCAGGCGGAGACACAGAGCAAAGCGCGGGCCTTCTCCTCCTCGCCGCAGAGCACTGACCTCCAGCAACAACTGCAAAGCGCGGATTACCTTCAATGCGAGAGAAATCGCTCCGTAAAGGGCCAGTCGGATGGAAGTTGGCAGGCCTTCCACAGTATTTGTCCCCCCTTCCACAGGCCGGGCGTTAAGCAAAGGCACCGCCGGAGTTCGAGAAATGTCTGTTACGCTTGAAATCCCCGCAGTCTCCAACGAGCAATCCCTGCGGCGCTTCCACTGGTGGTGCAACGCCTCAGCCTGCAACAGCTCTCCTGGAGGAGAGAGGAAATGGGAGCGGTAAAGACAGAAGACGTCAAACAACCCCTGGATTATCAGAAACCGCCGTTCACTCTGATCATCTGAAAAGATAACAAAGCACATATGCACAAAGTAAATGCCCGTTCAAGGATCGCTCCCAGCAGCGGCACCAGTTCCAGTAGCGACAGCCGCCACTCCAATAAAAACAGCAGGGATAGCTGGCAACAGCAACTCCAGCAGCTCCAACTTCATCACCTGCTGCATGGGCAGGCAGTACTTGCAAGGCGAGTCTTGTGATGTCCTCAATGGTCCCCCCATACATCTCAAGGATGCAGCGATGCCACTCAAGCATGCCCTGCAGGAGTTTGTCTCTCTGCCGTGGAGCATGTTTGGCCTGGGCGTTGAGTTCACTCAGCTCTGTCTGGGGAGTGGCGACATCAGTAAAGTCGTCTGTTCCGCTCGCGCTTGCGGGATCCGCCTTCAGCTGCGCAGCCAGATGACTGGTGAAAGAGCTGGTTACGGACTTGGCGTACAGGGATAGGCGAGCAAAAACACCCTTCTGGCTTGCCTGGACAGATTTTCCCCCAACGCAATCTTTTGGGAAGTTAGAGGCGGCCCAACCGTCTCCTTCACTTGCCTCTCCATAGACCATTCCACTCAGCATCTCTATGTTGCTGTGATCTGCCCCCGTGCCCACTTCAGCTTGAGTGGCACTGCCGATACAAATTGGATAGCGAGTGACTTGCTCTCGCGGTGCCCCAAGTGCAGAAGGGGAAGACAAGGGAGCAGAGTCATCCACTGTCGCACAAAAGCGTTGACACGGGCGACGACCCATCTGATCTTCCGGGTTAGGCGCTTCTGTGCCCTGCCTGTGAGGCTCCTCAACGCGAATCCACTCTCCTTCACTCTCGCTTACTGGGGACATCCGAGGCAAGGCGGCCGCCGCACCGCTATCCGCCGCCGAATGCTTCTGTTCTGGCGCCGATTGTTGCTGCTGAAGGGACAACGCTGGCGCTCGCTGTTGCTCGCGCTGCATTTCGTTCGGTTGTTGCTGTTGTGCTTCTTGCGTAATATGAGTGGTCCGATGCTGCTTCTTTAGTCTAGAGTGCTGGCTTGGGCTTCTGTATGCTGATAGACTCCCTTCATTTGAGATTTCAGGCAGGTTTCGGAGTTTCTCTGCACTATCCACGGCGTTAGCACACGGGCTAACGGCTCGTGCCTCCGGAGTTATACCGGATCCCCCGGCGTCGGAGTCTCCTGGCAAGCTACGTGGACTATGAAAAGCGCATGTATCGTCTTGCGAGACTGCGATAGACGCAGAATCATTCCCATTCGATGAATGTACACTGTGGAGAAGCGTCGGCGGAGGAGAAACGGAATCTTCTTCCCTTTCAGTTAAATCCCCCCCATAGGTGCTTAACGCACTCTCACTTTTCAAGGGAGCTGATTGGGAGGCCCCAGGAGAGCAAAATTCTGGCTCCTTAGAGACTTCAGGAGCAATGCTGCTCGTAGAAGGGCTTTCGTGCGAATGTGGAATGGCTCGAGACGCATCCACTTGGCCCCCCCCTGGGCGAGGATTCGCCCAGCGCTTTCTCGGCATTATGTCTTCGCATTGAAGTAGCTACTTATCCAATTGTCCTCGAAACTCGAGGACAGTGGAAATGCAGAAGGGAAAGGAACCCACTTGCTACTGATACCGGCAGAGTCGTCGTCTTAGTGTACGGTGCGGAAATCTGCTGCCGATCCAGAGTGCAACAGTTGCAGCAGAGCGACCGCCATGGGGGAAAGTGCGAATTCCTGTCAAGGGAAAATGGCGAAGGAGGCAGGATGCCTAAGAAGACAATGATCAGGCACTGCGCTTCGAATTTCAGCACAGAGAGAGTCGGGCTGGACATACAAAAACCAGGACAGAGTTAAGGAGGAGAAGCGGTTTGCGTAGCAGATGCAACTTACGAGCTTGCTCTTTCTCTAAATCGTACTGGTGAGTTTAAATTGGGGCGTCTCACGAAGGCCCTTGCTTCAACTGGGGCCCCCCAAGCCCCGGCCCGCCGCTGTCTGCTCTCGGACCGGCAGTTAACTCATTGACGGCACGTTGCTGACGTATGCGTGGCCGTTGAAGTCTTTCACCGCACATAATGGCTCCTGATACGACCGAAAACTACAAAAAACCAAAGTTAGCTTAATTAGGAACTCGAATGCTAACAATGTAAACAGAACTGCCCGTTTCGGCTCACCTGTAACGGTGCTATGCTGGCTGCCTCATTTAGCCCCAGCACACCTTAACTGTCCCTTGATTGCACCTGGAGCATGTCAGCTTATATATATTTATGCTCGTTGGATGGTAAACTCACAATTCAATAGTGAGCATCCACCTTCCCACAGCCCCGTGCTGCTTGTGTAGCCTGCCTGAGGTTTGTGCTGTAGTTCCACTCGCGTGGACGCTGGCGATTGATGGCCACGAACGTAGTTAGCGATTGTCTCCGTTGTTCGTGCATACATCAAAAATGGGACTTTGAAGTGCATGCCGTCCATGAAGAATACTTCTGCCTTTGCAGACCGTACAAGTATGGAGAGCGCTGCGATGCGGGGGCAGTGGAGGAATTATGCTTCCTTGACCATTTTTTTCTCCTTTCGAGCTGTTGGGTTGCTCGGGGCATCAAAGCAACTGGCGTTTCACTGTTAGGAAGGAAAAACTTCCTTCCTAACAGCTTCCGCTGTTAGGAAGGAAGTTTTTCAAAAGCAGGGGACGCAAGCGCTGGAGGCGACGCCATGCATCTGACGGACAGCCTCTTGTTTGGTCTCTTTTCAGATAAGTTGTTGCTCCTCGTTGAGTGTATCGTCTAGACGAGTAGCCCTGAGAGCGAATCCAGGTACAAACCTACGGTAGTCGGATGCACGTTGGAAGAATTCCTAATTATCCTTGAGTGTGACCAGCGGGAGCGATGGCCGCCGAATTGCCACTAGCTCCGCCGGATAAGGTTTGTCTCGCTGGATAGAGACAAAACTCCAATAGTACAATTGTTTATAGGAATAAAAACTACTTTTTTGTGCATGTTTTGGCGAAAAATGAACACTACTATGCATTTACAGTCCACAGCTTATCGGGTGCACGTTACAGTGATCCCCGCAGGTGCTGCATGCACTCCTGCACACCCTGGCTGCACAAGAACATACCATTCATACAAGGATGCTCCCTTCATCAGGTGAGACGATGCACTAGCTGTTAGAGTCTGGCTGCAGTTCTGAAAATGCGGCTACGGTCTCCTTCAGCACGCATATGTACTAGCATTTGCGAGTTTTGGTACGGAGCACAATTCTGTACTTGCCATCGTGGTGCTCGGGAATCTGTACAAGTTAAACAAAGTCAAATGACGAGTGTATTACTCGGCTGTGAAAGTAGTCAAACAGTAAATCGGTTCGAGATAGCGGAAACTTTGGTTTCACGGTGATTTTATTGAGGGGCATGAAACTGACGCACATTCGCTACTCCTCCTTCTGCTTTGTCTGCCCTGTCCTGCTTTTGAACGCTCCAATGACCAAGTAAAATTAGCCTTTTTTGGCAGGTCGCTCCGTTGCAGCTCAATTTCCTCTTCAAGGCGCGGAGGTCGCCGTTAGCTCGGAACAAACATGGGGGCTGCGCCGGAATAGGTTATATCCGGTGCATTACAGCGAGTGGCCGCTCCGCTGGAAGCTTTTTGTTTTTTAGTTTGTCTCATATCGCCGCCTTTAAGTGTAAAACTCTTCTTTTCGTGTTTCACCAAATCTCGATCTCCATGAGACCCTCACGACGGATTGCATGCATTCCTCCCCGTTTTTATCCTGCAGCGCCCCCGCCCTGCGTTGTAACTTCTCTCTGCTTTATTATGTTGATTTCATTGGTCCTGCTGCACGGAATAGTCGTTCTCTAGGGAACGCCCAGACGGCGCACTCTCTCAGTGCTACACGCATGCTCTCCTTCCACTTAGCCACAGAGATAAAGCGTCCGACTAGCTCGTGGTGTATTAGGCCGAAGCATAAACATCGCATTATGCGAGTATGAACGATTCCTGAATTGAGCTGCCTTTAACGCTCAGCGTTATATCGATCCTCGCGTCCTGTCTAAGGCAGTGAATCGTTTCCATGGTAATTACATTTTCGGATAGACGGGGTGCGAATAGTGCGCTTGTTCCTACGTGCCGGGGAGCCCAGCTTCTCACCTCCCCGCCGGAGGAAGAATCCTTCTAGTCTCCACCATGTTTTGAGATTTGAAATGCGATCTCGAGATTTCAGTTTTTTCTGCAGAACGAATCCGTGACTATTCAACGCTATAGATAAGGCGGGCCCGTCGTTATGAGGGTCTCCCAACTTGTGCCCTTCCCCCTTTAACCGTACGGACCTATTATGTGTAACGAAAGGTCTCGATCTTAGCGGACAATCGTCGTGATGGAGCATGGTCTGCCTGCAGTTAGCACAGGAGCCTTCACTTGGCCTTGGTAGGTTGCTTGTAAAAAAATACAAACGTTCTATTGGTGTAATCAGAGGTAAAACATGCAGAAAAAGGAAGCTTCGCTGGTGCTAGCTGGTATTCATGCGTGAGGCTGGCTTGTACAACCAGCCGCAGCGAGGTGCGCTGTAACTTCATTTCAACCAGCCTCCTCCCCCCAACACCGAGACCCTGAGCTCAGCGCACAGGACGCCTGAGGAGAGGGGAAGGAGGTCAGCTGCTTCGGACAAAGTCTTACTTACTCTTACCTGCATTGCAGCTCGTGCCTGTCCTTGATTAAGGCCACAGAGCAAGCGTTATACATGAAGTGCAATTGTGTAAAAGTCATCAGAATAAGAGTTCCTCAAAAGGGAGCTGACCAATCCTCCAGTCTTCAGACGTCCTGGGGATACTGGCACAGAGGCCTCGTGCGGTGCGAAGAGGCGGCACCTTCTCATGAGTTGCAGCACTCCTTGCTGCAGCTCCTGTTGCACTCCTGCTGCAAGGCAACCACGCATAAACGCATACACAGGCGCCCTGTCGGTGCAACTAATAACAGTTGAGACAATCATCAAGCACTTACTTGGCTCTCAGGACCCTGCCTGCAAGCAAGGAGAAATATATTTACCAACGCAACACATCTACAGTCAAGGCTACAAGCCCTGACCACGCGGAGAGATAACCATGGCGCTGACTTGTCACATTTTGCAGTGAATAGATTCGTCTCAAATGCACCTGCTAATCTTCAGAATATACACAGAGCTACTTGTCCACGTTGCATTGCTATCGAATACTACATCTAACATGGTTTGCTGTTAGCTCGGGAGCCTTCACTTGTCCTTGGTAGTTGCGTGCAAACAAATACAAACGTCCTATACGTGTAGTCAGAGGCAAAGCATGCAGCAAACGAAGGTTCGCTGAACCCATCCGGTGTGCACGCTTGAGGCTGGCATGTATCGCGAGCCTCAGCGAGGTGCTCTGCAAGTCCATTTCATGCAGCCTCTTCCCCGCAGCGCCCAATCCCTGAGCTCAGCGCCCAGGACGCCTGAGGACAGCGGAAAGACGTCAGCTGCCTTTGGTGAACTCTTATCTCCTTCCCTACATCGCAGCTCGTCCCTGTCGTTCATTAAGGCCAGAGAACGAGCGTTACACGTTGCAAGTGTACGAGCTAAGCTGCACACAGCGGTCTCTGCAGTCGAGGAGCAGACAATAGATTTCGCGATAAGACAAACTGCCTGATTTTGTGAAGATAAGACGACCATTCTACGTGCAATAATCTATAATTGTCTTGGAGTGCTGACTGTAGGGTGTGTCTTGTCAGCTGCACCCACGTAAGGAGCAACACAATGCAAAGCCAAGAGAGACGCATGTACGTCTGCCTATGTTTCTATGGTGAGTGTTAATATCCAAAAGAGGAGAAAATGAGATGAGAGCTGTTAAAATGCCAGCAGTTGTAAAGCGATGAGAGGTACATCAGCTAATGCCGTCGCGCATGCAAACTTGAGCCGGCGCCAAGTGAGTCGTCTTGGGGCCCTAAAACGGCCGACAGCTCCCTTGGTCTCTGCTGTGTAATGACTATCTGATTGTCTCAAATCATAAACTCCGTGTAGCAAATGACCGAAATACTGGGCCTACCGTCCTTGTACTACGGTGTGTCCGCACAGGGAGCGATGGGCAGCTGACTCCGCGCCGATTCTGCGTACAGGACTTGTTGTCTCGTTGGAAAGCGACTGCTTATTGGAAGGCATGGGGTCATGGGAAAACAGAAGTGGCTTTCAGGTCACTGGTTCTGTTGGAGCGTACATCTTGGAACGGGTTGCACGGGCAGTTTCGTTCTGAGCGACTCGCATAACTTTGCCTTTTGCCATTGTGTATTGCCTACCCTGAACGGCAGATGACCCCCCCACCGTATTTCATATGCTCATAAGCAACCGCCTCAGCTGCCACTACGAGGGGGGCGGCTTCAGTGTTCTTGCAGCGTCGACTGTGAGCTCCATTTGCAGAAAATGGAGTTCGAAGATTCAAACGTCTCATCCGCTGGGTTCCACGACGACAGCAGCAATAGCAGTACTGGCGGTGACAGGGGTGCGGGACCGACCAGAAATCACGGTATCTCCCCTACAGCATTCGCAGACAAACCGGGCGACGCCTTGGATGAAATTACTCTTTCTGCCGCAGAGTCCGAGGGTTGGGTGCAGCCGAGCAGCATCAGTTGCCTGGCCAGTCAAACAGGAGCACCTGGGCCCGCCAATGCCCAAGCAAGCGGAGAGTTCGTGAGCCTCTCTTCCCAAAGTAATTCCAGCAGCAAAGTCATTCCGTTGCAGCAGGGACAGGGCACTGGGCCTACTATGGACTCTTCTGCTGCATCAGAAGATGTGACAGACGATGTCGCGTCCTCCTTCACCATCATTAATGCTCTAAAAAGGGAGGTATTTGCGACTTCTGCACTTTTACGAGCCGTGCGCATGCATGCCCTCTCACAGACGCGTGGGCTTTCAGCAGCGTCCCAGCAGCAGCTTGCTGCAGCTGTTGCCCCTCTGGTGAAGTCGTTTGAGCTGTTGAATGAAAGGCTAGCTGCAGCAGAGGCAGCAAAAGAACCGCCCCCAGCAGAATTGCAGGAGCAGCACATCCACCCTTTTCTTTTCGTGCTTGCACAACAGCAGCTGCAACACAAACAGCAGCAAGGTCTCAACAAACAGCAACAACTGCTGCATCAAAGCTGCATGAGGGCTCTTGCCTCTGCAGTCCTGCGATGTACGTACTCGCCATTTTCCACGGATCCATGTCTTCGTTACCGCAATTTGTAATAGCTGCACTTGTTCTTTCACATGCAAGCATACACTAGCGCATATCAGTTGCGCTGTGCACCACGCTGGCACAGACATAGCTCCTGTTTTCCTGTTCTGTTCTGTGAATGTTGCGGCTTGCAGCACTTGATCAGCTGTTAACTGTGGGACTTCTTCGATGTCGCAGCGCCGCGGGGCGCCGATGCTTGCACGCTTTAGTCCTGTCTCTGAGGAACTGTGCCTTGCAGGCGACCCAGCGGCTGCATTCGGCACCAACGCAGCCTTCTGCAGCCAATGCGACCGCCGCTGCTGCTGCAGTTCTGGGATCCGAGGCCTACGGCGGCACTTACTTTGCTCCTGCATCGCCTGCTGCTGAAGAGGAGTTGCTGCTGCTCCAATGCCTAGACCTTCTCAGTAGTTCGCTCCTTGGCCCTGCGGGTGTGCACTGCAGCATACACTTCCTATGAACATCACGGTTGTCTGAGCAAGGTGCCGTACAGCTGCGCCTGCACGCGCAGCAGCACAGAGTCCTGCTGAGTAGAAGCCCAGCACTGTTTGCAAACTGGGGCTTCTGTATATTGCAGCGGCTCAGGGAAGTTCGTAGTGGCCATCACAGAGGTGCTTGTCCTCTTTTGCCCCTACGGTATACGAGAAGGGCTTTAATGTGGCTGACGCCTTTGCCGCGTGCAACAAGGTTGCGTGCACTTGGGTTATGTTTTGCTTCAGGACATGTCTTCTCCGACGCTTGCGTCGCTAGCACAATTCAGTGTTGCGTGGCCGTCAGGTGGGCCGAGCACCTCCTGCCGAAGGGAGTTATAATGCTGCCCTTAGCCGTGGCTCATTATTAGCCTTGCCTCTAATCGCTGTAGCGAATTCTTGTTCTAGCGCGACTGCCAGCTATTCAGCTAGAGGCTTGCCTCAGGTTGCTGCCGAGCGACGTGCCTGTTGGGTACCTGCTTGCTTGCTGCTGTCTTCGCAGCAGCCCAGTTGGGTGTCAGTGGCATGCACAAGCATTTGCAGCAGGCGTTGCTCTAGTGGGACTACTGTCCCTTTGCGTCAGCCAATATTGCCTTGAGGCTTGTTTCTTGTTTCTCTGCAGCCTCTTACACCGCGCCAGCCCTCTGCTGAGAAACGCAGCTGCCTCCCGCGCTGTCGCCATTACTCGGCATCTCTTCGCTTCAGAGAGCCTTATTTCCCTCTCGCGCCGGCAGGGACAGCTGCACGATATAGATGGGTCGCAACAGCAGAGAGCAGCCACAGACGACCAACACCAGGAGAAGCAGGAGGAGCACCACCAGCAGCAACAACAGCAGCAACATGCATCGTCTCCACCGCGTTTCATTGCTCGTCTGGAATCTGCAATGTCTCTGAGGTCCACAGACACCTTATATTCACCTACACGGCATTCCTCGCTGGTGAGGCTCCAGCAGTTCTGCCCTTGACACCTGCACGCTGGCTCGTTCGCCGGATGCTCACCTTGTGGGTGCACACTTGTGGTTCGTATATGTGCACATGCATGCGTCACCGTGCACATTGGGAGTTGGATCGATTGCCCAAAACAATGTACACAAGCACTTAGAAGCAGCGTCGCCACGAAGACGACGCCGTGGCAGATACAGCTCCACCTCATCCCCAGCAGAGCGTGTGTGCATTTCCTTTGTTCGGTCTACAGAAGGGCTATGGGCTAGAATGTCGTCTGCGAATTCTAGCTCTCGTTGCTAGGCTTCTGTCTCATGAAGAGCATCGAGGAACCCCCCACAGCTCAGGCAGTAGCAGCAATAGCAACAGCAACAGCATCGGCTACACTGGCGTTGGTTCTGTAGGGAACAGGGCTGATACTACTCTCCCCCCCTTCGTTTCAGTGGCCGACGCACACACTGCCCCAGAGGGGTCTGGTGACACGAAAGTGGATGCATCCGGGAGACAAAATCGACCTGAAGAATCTATGCATGCCTCAGATACATCGGCACCACCAGCAGCGGCAACTCCTGCCGCTGCTGGCAGTCAGCACATCCAAGGCTTATCCGTGGGGGAAAGGGGTTCGCGGCTGGGGCCCTTTAGTGGTATTGACCGGGTAAGGCGACTTGCCTTGAGCACTACGTGCTGTACGCTTAGATACGTCGCAGAAATACTGACCGGTTGATTACTCTTCAAATAACATCAAGTTGGCGAAGTGCCATGAGGCACAATTCTGCATTGCTGCAACGGCGCTTTTGCCTGCTTATTTCAGGAGTTTGAGGGCCTTCTGGGGCACCACGGAAAAGACAAGGCAGCAAATATGGAGGCTAGACTGCTGTGTTTGCGCTTGCTCTGCGTTGCGCTTGAAGCTGGTAAGATTTGCGCATACGGGTAGCACTGGTGACAGCGCCTGTCTGTCAGTCCTTCGCAGCGGCTGGATTTAAAGTTGTAGGGAGAACGTTGAGGGTTCCTGCAACGGAGCCTCTCGCTTAACTATCGTTATCTGCAGGAATGCCTTGAAAAAGGAGCTGCAGCGAGTCCTGTGCATGTTCATCTGTCTTGTAGGGAGGGACACCTTCTCGCTATTCCCGAAATTGTTGCAGCCACTGCAGACGCAGATATTGCCGCTTGTTCTCCAGCAGGACACCCGTTCAGCGCCTCTAATGCTGCTCTCTCTGACACTGAGGTGATTCGCACTCTCCCTACTGCAGGTATTGGGCCGTTGAGCAACCAGAGAGGCAAGGCAGCACCACCGCTTGTGAAAACTGGATGCATCTTGTGGACGCAGGGTTGTGGGTGACTTCATTGCCTTCCTTCGCCCGTACATCAAGGACGAGATAGAGAGATGTCTCTATCAGCTCCTCAGGTAGGGGAAAGTATTATGGCGGTGGTGACAATTGCACATGGCGCTCCAACACCATTGCAAGGATAGGTGTAGCGTCAGCTCGTATAGAGCATCCCAATTGCGAGGCCTCATGTATTACTACGGGCTTCGACTCTGTGTGACTTTGTTCTTTCTGGTCCCACTTCCACGGGCTGGCGCTGCAGCCTCTTCGTCTGTTTTTGTCTCATTGCCATGTTTCCTCGATTTTTTCCGCCGCTTTTTTGCATGCACGTAGCTGTTTCTCTCCGATGCGCGGGACTGGGTGGAGGGTAGTGAGTTTGTGTTCAGTGACCGTTCGAGGCTTCTGTGGTGCTGCAGGTTGTCAACCACCAATCACGGGGGCCCTTCTAAGACGTTAGCAGCGGAGGCGCAAGAGGTAGCGCTCGACATGTTACGTGAGCTGTGTAGCGACGCGTCGTTTGGGTTCGAGCTGATGCTGAACTACGACAGCGACATTCGCCGCTCGAACGTATTTGGGGTTTTGGTCACACTGCTTTTGCAGCTAGCAGCTCCCCGCGTTCCTTCTCTGAGAGGCGCCTATCGCTTTGCAGAATGCGACATCGAAGGAGGCCAGGGGCACCCATGGCTTTCGGGGACTTCTCTGTCACATGCAGCTGTGGGGGTGGCGGCCACTGCTTCCGAAGCATCTACAGCTAAGACTCCGACGCAGCAGCAGTCACCTTCAGGGTCTTCACCTTCTTCAGTTAGCACAACGGCGGCTGCAGAAAGCAGCAAGTCTCATCACCATGGTGCCTTTCACTTGAGGAGGGCCCCCCCGAGATCCCCCCTGAAGGCCTCCCGATCGTCCGCAGACGCCAACGCAGCGGTAGCAATGGAGAACTGGGCCACAGATGCTGCGGGAGTCACGCGCCCCGCAGGACTGTCGAATGTTAACCGCTTGGCTCTGGCGGCCGTCCTCCGTCTTATTTCTTCTTTAGCTTCTCTCTGCGACAGTATGAAACACACCAGCACCGTCGAACAGCAGCAGCGGCAGGAGGCGAAGGAGCTTCATATTGACAAGCCCCAATTCGACCGCGAGTCTGCAGCTGCTTACTTTTTGCGTGTCCAAGAAATGCAACCCATTTCCCAGAGACGGAAGCACAAGGCTCTCCTGTCATATGGCGCTACTGTCTTCAATTCAAACACGAAGGAGGCAATTTCTCAACTTGAGGGCCTAGGGCTTCTGCCGACGCCAGCAACGCCCAGAAGCACTGCTCTTTTCCTGAAGGAGACCGGAGGCCTTGATCTGCGCGCCGTTGGGCTCTACCTCAGTGCGAATAAGCCATGGAATGCTCAAGTTAGTTGCTGCAACTGATGCCACCCACGAGGGAGCTATTCTTCAGCACAGCACACAGCACGGGGGGACTTTCGCCTCGTAGCTACACCTGCTCCCGTGGTAGGTCATTCCATTGTTTATGGCTTCCCTTGTTCATTTGACACCTCAGGTCCTGCGAGAATTCGTTTCGCTGTTCAAGTTTACTGGCGTTGGTCTTGTCGCTGCGTTGAGAAACTTCCTGAAAACGTTCCGGTTGCCGGGGGAGTCGCAGCAGATCGAGCGCGTGATGGAGGCCTTTGCTGATGAGTTCTTCCGCCAGCAGCCGCTGGTTAGCTGCCCACACAACAGGGAAAAACTGGCAGCGGCGAATGCAGGCAGCGGAACAGCAACAACGACAGCAACTGCAGCCACAACAACCGCGACGGAGTCCCCGGCCTCAGCCGAAGCCAAACCAACTACTCGGCCAGCAGCCGCAGCGGAGCCACTGGAGCTGTCTTTGTGGCGATGGGTGGCAGATGAGGGATTTTACTGCTCTTCGCGCGTTGCAGCTGCCAGAGAAGGTTCGGTAGATAAGGAGCAGCAAATAAGCAGTGATGAGCTTGCCCAGCAGCTCTCAGAGTTCACCCCTGTAAGCCGACGCCCGTTATCAATACCCATTACCAATGCAGTGTCTACATACACTGCATTGTCTAACGGTGAAGGGATAACGACGGGTCTGACCCCAAAGCTCGTCCTTGAACTGTTGTTTGACCTTGCAGTGCCGGTGCCGGCTTGGCTTACTGTGTTTGCTTTCACTTTAGCGAAAGTGCTTATCTATCTCGTACGCGCTGAGGTTAGGGCGGGTGCGGTGGTGGCAGTACCTTGTGGGCCACTACGCGCAGCAACGCCTTTGCAGACACAGGTCTTTTAATGAAATTGCAGGTGAAGTTTGTTGCTGCAGCTCCTTTCCGGCCTGTTTGTGCTTGCCCTCTTACAGGCTCAGCCGGCTCCTGGTTACGTGCTCATGATGCACAAAGACACGGTGTTTGTCCTGTCGTATTCCATTATCATGCTGAACACAGACCAACATAACTCGCAAGTCCGCAGTAAGATGCGAGTGGAGGACTTTGTGAAGAACAATCGGGGCATCAACAACGGATCCGACTTGCCCGCATTCTTCCTCCAGAACATATACGTCTCCATCAGACACCAAGAGATCAAGCTGAAAGAGGCCCCGTTAACGAGCTCCCCTCCACCGGCTGCGCAAGGGCAAAAGGCAGATGCGGCATCCATAGAACAGCAGCAGCAGCCGGTACCCGATATTTTTGACGTACTTGCAGACGGATGGACCCCCCCGGAGGGTGCTGGACTGGGTTGGGGGGCATTTGCCTCTCCTTACAACGGCCCCAAAAACGCAGTGGCGTCTGAGGGGCCAGGGGGCTACCGCGTAGTTCTGAAGCCCCGTGCTTCTCGAGTGGCGGAAAGCAGCGGCATAAGGAATTCTGCTGCGTGCGCAATCACCGCAGACGACCGTGATGTGGAGGGACTGGAGATGGAGATGTTTCGTATCCTGTGGAACGGGGGCAGCCTTGCCGTGCTCAGGGGGGCATTCGAAGCATCGCTTGATCTGCGGCACTTGGAAGAAATATTATGCGGTGTTCTATCTCTGGCTCGCGCTGCTACTGTCCTAGGTCAGGTTGTTGCCTTGAACACGATTGTAGCGGAGTTGTGCAGCTACTTCGTGTATTCTGTCCCTGCACACTCTCAGCTGGTACTGGCGCCTATTATGTACCTCATTCGCCAGTCTGGAGCCTCTCTCAGAGAGGAAGGATGGGGAGCGATTCTGGAACTGTTGCTTCGGCTGCATGCACTCGACTTGCTGCCGCCAGCCCTCATGGGCCTCGACGACTTTGAAGGATCAGGAGGTGCAGCTCTTCCTTCTCTTTGTACTTTGGCGCCCCCACCGTTCGCTCCGCCAGCCTCGCGAAGAGACAGAGGAGCGGGAAAGAAGGGTGGTGGCTGGCTGGGGGATCTCACTTCCATTTTATTCGCCCTTGGAGACTCTGACGACGAAAGCGATGGAGACGACAGCAGTGGAGCCCAAGGTCACATGTTGTCAGAGGTAACGCAGACACTCCAAAATGCGAATTTCCATTTTTTGGACTGAAGTGGCTTCTCCCCTTTATGCACCTACTAGACTTTGTTAGCTGCATACGGGCTGCTTGCTGACGCAGTTCAGCATGCAGCAGTGTAACCGTGTACCGACGGTTTTGTGAGCTGTTACGCGAAGGTCTAAGGGGTCAATTTCACCTACGGATACGTTGTGGCTTTGAGTCCGCTTTTTGCATTCCGGCGTTGGAGCTTATTCTGGTTTTTTTTTTCAGGAACTGAATTTCGCCTGCGATGGTTTGTACGTGTTGAGAGCGTCTACGGACTTCACACTGCTTCCATCCACCGTGGCAGTGGCAGCGGCCGGCTGTTCTGAAGTGGAGACGGAGCGGGACGCTTCCGAGGCTCTTCACGTGCAGCGTGTTCCCCCAACCCAGAAGGGCCCGGCGGGTCCCAGCGGCGTCGTGGGGCCCGAACGCAAGCTGCCAAAGGGACCAAATGAACCGCAGCAGCCGGTGCAGCAGCACGAAGTTCCAGGTTCCGGTTCTCCTTCTGCTTCCCCAGAGGATGAGGAAGCTGCAGCTGCAAGAGCCCCCTACTTACGGTTGAAAACGGTGTTGTCTCACGGCATCCACATCGACTTGGCAGTGGCCGAGTAAGATTTGGTAGACCACCTGCTGGTTACTGTAAATCCCGCTCTTCCCTGAGGTAACGCTGCGTTGCCTGTGAGATCCATCTACACTCCCGCGGATGTGTGCTCTGATTCCGTGTCAATGGTTTTGCAGGATTTTCCGTCAGGTCGAACCCGTCTCGTCTCTGTCAACTGCAGTTATCCTCCTCGTGCACATTGTGCTGGGGTTTCCACCCATCCGCCAGAATCCCGGCGCGTCTCCAGATTGTCCATTACAGGCCCAGCCATTTCAGCAGCAGCAGCAGCCCTCCTCAGATGCTGCAGCCTTGCAGAGTCGCAGCGCTGGTGAGCCAGTTACACGGGGAGTTGGAGGCAGCAGCAACACATCAGCAAGCGTGGCATCGGGGCAGTCATCCTCCGGGGCACATCATCAAGGACCCCCTCCGCTGCAGCCGCCTGAGGACCTGGGTTTGCCATCGCTTCCGGGAACTGAACTTTCCATGCTATCTAGCTACCTAGTTGATGCGCAGAGACGGGGCCTTGAAGATGACGGCTCCAGACGCAGCAACAGCGTCAGCAGCAGCGTCAGCAGCTCGGCTGTCTCTACTCCGGTGGGGGCAAATGCGCCATCCACGCAGTGTCCTGGAATTTCTTCCTACACCTTGCCCCCCCCTGTATGGTCTCCGTTGCGTGCCGGCACATCCCCTCAGTTGATGACTTACAGGGCATACACCGATCGACTCTTTTGTTTGGAGTTGCTTGGGGCTCTGATGCTGAGCGAGCTAACGCCTGGGAGCCTATCTCTTCGCCCTTCAAAAGCCTACGGGACGGCTCTTTTGCAAAACTGCCCGTGGTTGCTGTGCGCGGTGTATCTCGACACCTTCTTGAGGCGCTACTCGATAGGAACTGCTGCTGGTGGCGTGCCTAATCCTCTCGAGGTTGTAGGCCTGGCAGGGCCAACACAACTGAGGCAGCAGCAGCAGCAACGGGAGGAGGCAGTAGAAGGGACAAGCGCCAACAGACCTCCCTGGGCAGTAGCTATCCTGGATGCATGCAGTAAAGACCCTCTTGCGCAGGCTACCGTGAAGAACGTCTGCAATGTTTTTCAGTCAGTAGGGTCTCGCCGGCTGGTCGATACGCCCACAAGTGGGTCGCTTTCTGTCACCACTGCGTTTGATTCCCACTGGGCGATTTGTTACTTCTATGGGTTCATGTGCTTTTGCCTGTTGGATTTGTGGGTGTTGCATGCAGCTCTACCTCACTGGGAACTCCTGTTCATTGAGCGACTTGTCGTGACTGTACTGAGGATCTGTCTTCGTCTACTTTCCGACGAAGATTCTTTGCTGCTTCCCGTGTACACAAAGGCAGGGACACCCGAACTGGGTACCCCGAATACGTCTGGCTGTACTCCCGCCTGCCAGGTGGCAATACATTTGCTTCAGCTTTTAACCCTTCTTCACCCCAACATCTTCTGCATGCATGTACAGCGTATCTGCCAATCAGCCACTGTAAGTTTTCCATTTGATGGCATGATATCTAGCTCCGCTGCAGCGCTTGACCACGACAGTGGACGCATCGTCGTATGGCTGCCGTTGTCAACAGGTTTTGCAGCCGCCTTTTTAATATCCATTTTCCCTGTGTGGTTGACTCCTTATCCTATTTGCTGAGCATGGGATGCACTTGTCGATTTCCTGTGCTCAGATCCTTGTCTCCAGGCTCAATCTGAGAGCTTGCAGCAGCCCGCTTCTAATCCAGGTCCTCCTGGCTCTGTATCAGCGGCTTGTCCCTCTGCCTGCCTTCTTACCGACTGCTCCGTTGCCGCAGCATTTGACACAGCAGCAACCGCAGCAGCAGCTTGCCTTGAGGATCGTTGCTTCGCTGTCCGAATGGATAAGAGATCCTGAGGCTTTAGCCTTACTTGTCCTGCAGCATCGCAACCACTACCAGATGCTGCTACAGACCCTGATGGCTGTTTGCATTTACGTGCCGCCGTCCCCGTCAGTTCAGACACTCTGCCCTACCTCTGGCGAGCGAAGGATTGAAGGAGAGGCTCAGGACAGCCAGCAGCCGCTGCCGAGTGTGAACAGTGCCTCGTCGTACGAAGCCAACTGCACTTCGCTAGCTTTGTTGGCGTCCTTAATTCCTTCAGTTGGAGGGGCGTTGAAGTCGAAGGGAGCGGCTGTTGCAGCGTGCTTGGCTGCCGCAGCAAATAGCGTTGCTACTGCGAATGGTGAAGATTCTTCTAAATGGAAGGCTCGTTTGGATTGCCAGGCAATGTGGCTCCAGACCATGCAAGTATTAGCTATTGTCTGCAGCTTCTCTGCACGACCCGTGAAGGTCAAGGCTCTTGCGGTGGGTCCGACTTTCCCAATGCGCGCTCTTGTATGCGACTGCAGAGAAAGTCACATTGCTTGTGCTTGCACACAGTAGGCATGCTACCTAAATGTAGAGGGCGTTTTGCCTTCCTGTTCCTTTGCTGGCACGAGGGGTGCAGACCGGGAGTCCCTGTTTGGTCATAGGCGGCGGTGGTGTGTGTTGCTGCTTCGAGCCCTTACAGGTACTGCAGCAGATGTTGATCCGCTGCAGCAAGAAAGAACCGAGCTCTGAAGAGAACAGCAGTGTCCTCGTGAACAACCGCACCGTAAATGCCGAAGGGGCCTCGGACATGCCAGACAGCAGTGCCTCGACTTCTGCTGCACCAGCGGCGTCCGCTGCAGCTACTGCCGCTGACTACTGGGATACGGCGCCAGAAGATGCATATACGTGGAGACTTTGCCTGCAGTTGGTTGTCTTCCCGCTCCTGAGCCTTCGCTTTGACTATCCGTACACGCCGCTGCCTCCAGGCGACGCCCCCCCGCCTCCCCCTCAGCAGCACCAGCAACAGGCGAACGGCCACAGTGCAGGGGATTCCATCTATGCATTTACAGCAGGACAAGACCAAGAAAAGCAACCCCGCGATCACCATTTCGGCATGCCTTGGATGTCTCTACCGACGAGGCGGCGACTAACCCCGGAAGTTGCCATAGGCAGTCTGGGCCTCGACGAAGTACGATACGCGGATGCCCTTGTTGCTCCTTGTGCTGTTGCTACTGCTGCTTCTTTTGATGACGTACTCATTTGCGTTAAGAGCTGAGTGTGCTCGTGCTGCTCTGTTCTTGCCTGGCGTCACCGTTGCTGCAACCACGCCGGTTGCAGTACAGCTAGTTCACCAGTTCATCATTTGCGACGTCATCCTCTGCAGGTTCCCGGTGATTTCGGGTTTTTATGTATGTGGGTAGACGTCTATATACTTACAGCGCCTTGCTTCATCCCGTGGCTTTGCGCCCACGCACTGCGTTTTTGCCTTTTCAGGTGTACCAGAGAAAGGCAGCCGCAGCGAGTTTGGCTTGTCGTCTCTTCTTGACAAAGATGGAACTCCTTCTGCAACCATTCAAAGTTAGAGGCATTTATGTAGACTTCGTGGCGCAGCCGCCTTTGTCGGAGGACTCGTCGAAACAACAGGGATTTTCAGGAGACCACCCAGGGGGCATAGAGGGCCTCCTCCCTCCCCTTACCCAGCTGGTGCAGCTACTGGTTACAGAGGCCAAGGTACGTTGTGCCTTCACGAACCCATGGTATCATGTTCCACAAGCAGGAATGATAGTTCCATGTCGTCTTGGGCGGTTGCGGGGGCTGCAGTACACCTGCTCATCAGACCGTGCATAGGATGCTGTTGTTTTCCTGGTTTCCTCAGCAAGCCCCTGTTATATATCGCGATGCGTTCCTCGAAAGCCTGAAGAACACACTGCTGGTCGTCCTCACCTGCCCCTTCGTCGCAGCAAGCCCAATACCGGCGGATTTGAAGACACGGATATCTCCAACTTCCGTCCTACCAGTTATCTTTTTCCCGAAACAGCAGCACCAGCAACAGCAGCAGCAACAACAGCAGCAGGAACATCCGAACTCACCTAAAGGGGAGACTCAGAGGCCTCCCAGCGTGGAGGAGGCTGCGCAGGTGACAGCAAAGCAGGAAGCCTTGCTAGGAACGCTGTCGTGCTTAACGGACAGCCAGCGTCTGGTGGTGTCAGCAGTCTCTCCCTTCGTCGTCTCAACGTTTCCAACAGTGATACAAGAGCTACTTCTGATACTTCCAACCCCTCAGCCACCTCCGCCTCCTCCAAGGCAGGAACAAGTTGCCTGCAAGGAGCGTGAGGAAAATGCTGCAGCGGAAGGGGCCGAAGTCCTTGCAGATTGCAGCCCTGGGGGCTCACGACACGAAAGTGACAACGGGAAAGATGAAGTAGTTGCAGCGGAAAGCCTTGAGGAAGTGAGCAGTTATTCCAGTGCAGTTGTATTGCCGCCTGCGGATGGTAATGCTTGTGCGTCGTAGCCCCTGGTTCTGCTATATTTGGGCAGGTGAACTTACTGCTATGAATGGACCATGTTTGGATGTGCTGTACCGATTGATCTCCACTCGGGAGCACTGCGGACACACCTGCCCTTTGCGTGGAACGGAACTGCAGTCTGTATTCGCCCACAGAAGAGTCATTCACGAAGGGTTTGTGTTGCAAAGGGATGCAAGCACAGATGCCTTCATGGTTCATGAATAGTTCTGCAGTAGACAGGTTTAGGAACTTCGAAGCTGAATCGGAGCAATTAAATCACTCTCTATTACCATTCGAACACTTCCCGTGCTCACTGAGCATTTAATTGACTCCGACATTTCATCTACACATTCATTCACTACCAAGTCGGATGTTTCAGTCAACTACTAGTGTTGAAGTCGAGATTTCTATTATCCTTTCCCTTCCGGGTTCTTCACTCAACACTTAGTTCGAATCGATTGGAGAACTCATTTTTGAGTTGCGCTTCCCACTGGTGGCGGAAGACAAAGCATTCGCTCTAATTTGAGCATTTCGTTTTAGCTTCAGCATCGCAGTGTTGCAGCTGGAGAATGGCCCCTTCTAGTGGCGTTCGTCCCTGCAGTCAAGCTGTGGTTGTGTTCAATGATCTATGGAGCCGTAAGGCCAGTGGGTAGTTGCACAGGGCAAACATATCTCCTTCGTAGGCTCGCACTCAAAGTACCTACTTATTTCCTTCGTCACGGGGAGAGGTGGATACTGTACATTCGGGGGCAACAACACTCCCCCCTCATCTGCGGTGGCTTTAATTTCATAGGAAACTGAAATAACTACCTGATAATGTGAAGACCGGTTACAGCAAAAATGGCACGTCTTGGGTAACAGGGACACTGCTGTATCTGCAGAGAAGCTGGCGATTTGCACGCCTTGCTCAACAGTCACACTGCTGTATCTGCAGAGAAGCTAGCGATCGCCGCTCCTGTGGGCGGCATGAGTCTGTCTAAGTTATCCAGGATTGCTGCAACGAAGCAACGTTCTTCATCTGCAGTGACAAGCGAAGATATCTACCTGCAACTCGTGATTTACTGATCGTGTATCGTGAACCGGAAGTTTCAAACCATAGTTGGTAGGCAAGCTGGCCCATGCCCTCGGTGTTCCTTTCCAAATCAGGCTCATATAAATAGGAAAGTCGCAGTCAGATTCAGAAACCCGGATGGTGATTGTTTGGATAGCTTGGTGCATTAAAACCTTCCCGCGAGACCGAGATGACACGTAAAGACACCTGACCGCTCAGCGCTCAATGCTGAGCAGTTCGGTCGATCGTGTGGAAACGTGTGTGGGGGGCTCAATCTCAAAGTCACGGCACCTAGCCATAAAAAATGTTTCACGAATGTTCAATTTCACTCCATTAATGTCAGCTAGACGCGGGATCTGTGGATGTTGAGTTAATGCCATGGATTGGATGCTTGGGGCGTTGGGGCTGGAGCTGTGTCGTTGTCGGTGGATTGCAGATATGGGTTAGCAGTTTGGAGCAACAGGAGGATGTTAGGCTTTAGCTTTAAAAACATCACTCTCCGTTTAGTTGTTCGTTCCCCACATTGGTTACTGAACGCACCTTTTGGGGAAGCTGATCCCAGCCTTCGGCTATAGCTACACGTGCTCTAATTGTCGCATCTCTTATTCTTGCACTCGACGAAATGAGCTGCCTATGCCATTGTTAGTAGTACGAGATGCAGTCTTTCGCTTGCCATAGTGATCGTCTGCACCTGCGCAGGGGCGTGCGGGTTACTGCACTTCTGCCCCTGAGTTCTCCGAACTGCACACCTGACCAGGTTGGCCAGTTAGCAACTGCCCTGCTGGGTTAACCGTTTCTAGAGCTACTAATAAACAGATACTTGACGCATAAAAGACAAGAAGGGGCAGGGAAAGGCTCTTGACATGCCCGCTACGGTCAGCAACAACTACACGGAAGTGGAGCCCGGTAACTGGGTCTGAACGGTGTCTACGTGCGATAAAAATGCCTCAGAGTGCGCATTCTTCTCACACTTTCTGATGTAGATGAAGAAAGCGTGGGGTTGCGCGCACTCGCATGTATTCCACAGTTCTTAGCTCTTATTTTTCTGATAAGCATAGTAGCCCGTGTAGTCAGCTGGTAAGGGCGTTCAGCACAGTCGTTTAGCTTTGGCTGCGGGAGGCTTGATAGTCAACCCTTCTGGCGAAGGTAGGCTAGCGGTTATATGCACTTTTGGGTCTTCCAACCCTTCCCTGTACTTTTCAGACGCAGCATTCGACGAGGCAGGCCCTGCTGCCGAGAAGATAAGGAGACTAAGGAGACAGATCGCTGCTCAGACTCGAGAGCTGCAGCGCCAACAACGGGCACGCTCCTGCAGCATCGTTCAGAAGATCGTGCGCGAGGAGTGGGCTGCTGCTCAAAATGAGGCGCTTAAAGCTAAATCAGCCAAACAAGGTGAAGACGCTGAGCAAGTGCAGACACACTGTCGGGCTCTGTCAAACTCCCACACTCGTATCTGGAGCCGAATACCTTTGCTCCACAGAATACGTTACTGTTTGCGCAGCCCTCGAGTTACGATTGCCTAGCGGCTGCAGCGAGTACGGCGGAAATAGTCAGAACTGGAGTAGTAGTTGCATGCGTACTTGGGCCAGCAGCAGCTTGTGGATTAGTGCACTGCTCTGTCCCTGCTGTGTTGCAGCTGGAGCATCGTGCGTACCTATATCTGTTGGCGGCAAAAGCGGTGTAGCCAACCTTAGAGCAGCACTCAGCTTTGACTCCCGCGTTAATGAAAGAGCTCAGAAACAAAATGCGTCGGCGAAACCGCCGCGTGGCGTTGCTTCTTCGAATTCGAGGTAATTACTTACCAGAAAAAGCAGCGCTTTCGGTAGCGGCCCCCCTGAAGATCAATTATTTTGCATATGTTTCTAAGTGTTTCCTACTGCTAGTTGGTCTGCAGGCAAGACGACGACACGGTGGCTTTAAAACACGCTCCTCTTAAAAAACGAAGCCTTAGCGTGTTCGAGCAGAAAAAAATAGAAAGGGCACTTCAGGCGCAGCAGCAGGCGATTTTGGAGGGGACGCCACAACGCATTGCAGGAAGGGTTTACTCCGGCCCTTCTTTTCGGTGTTCTCCTTCTGAAGTAGCGTTTAAGGCATTTGATGCCGGTGGAGTGTATTCACAGGATGTGGAGGTGACCAACGTGAGCTTGGGATTCAGCACATTTCGCGTGTTACCACTTCCAGAGGAAGTCGAAGGCATCATCTCTGTGACTTTCGAAGCTCCAGGGAGGATGTCTGCCGGGCGCAGCACGCGGATAACAGTAACTTTCACCCCTAAGCGGGAAGAAGATCTGAATACAGAGATCCTTCTGCTTTCTCCTACTGGGCCACAGTCATTGCCAGTCATTTGTTCGCGCAAAAGATCTGTTTTATCCTTCCGCCCCCACAAGCTGTCCCCTCAAGCCCTTCTAAAGTCACTGCACACTTCGGGCGCGCCCGCCCGAGGAACGTGCGGTGGAGTTTCTGAGCCCAGTGTTCAAAAGAAACCAGACGGAGATACTCGTACATTGACCGGGGGAGAGAAGGCTCGCCTCAGCAGAAGGGCGCAAGTCGCGGAGCAGAAAGATGTCAAAGACGGTGTTGTGTATCTCTCCGCTGGAGATATTCAGCTGGGCGAAGTGGCGGCAGTTCGTTTCAGACTATCGAACACAGGGAGTCTCGCCACTGCTTACCGCATTTTCCCTGTATCTCCAGAAGGGCAACGCGAGCCTTCAGAGGCTGAATCCTTTAACCAACGAAGCGGGCAACCCAGCGAGGCAGAGGGCCTCCCGCAAGAACTACCTGAGGAGTCAACACAAGACTGTCGAAGCGCAGAGGACCCTGGCCTGTCCAGTTCTACAGAGCTTTCCTCAGCGGAAAATCTAGGAAAGGAAAGTAATGTAGGGCAGACGGAAGAAGACTTAAGGAGTCTCAGCGCTTCTGGATGGCTGGAGGCACTCCAGGGCGAGGCAGTAGTGCTGGCTCAACGACTTAGGATCTCAGACAAGCAAAACACTCTTGCCTGGGCTCGAGTCTTGTCTAGCGGTTTAGGTGTCCTGTTGGACAGGAGAAAGGAGCAAGATCGCCAAGAATCGTCATGCTCAGCCATTCCCCTGCAGCTCTGTCTCCGAAATACTCTTGTTAAGAATGCAGCCGGAGAGCTAGATGCCCTTCAGACACAGGAGATTACCATTGTTCATGCGCCGACCCGCACAGGAAGATTTGTTGGCTTCTTTTCCCTGCAGTTCTCTGACCCAGATGTATCGCTTTATTCTCCAAGCACTCAATATTTCGTGATCACTTCGGGATATTCCAATAACTAAATGATGCCACAGCACTGACACCCTTGTGCCTTAGCCGTCGTCGATTTCCTGCCGTGCCACCGTGAGATTGCGGGCTTCTTTCTGTTGTGACGGGGACGCTCGTTTCATGTTCCTTGTCGCTGTATTCAGCACGAAGACGTGGTGGTCGTGGTAGACGGGCAGTGCGTCTTGCCGCCCGTCTGCATGGACGCGCCTCTGCACGACATCGGGATCTGTGTTCCAAATCGTGGGTACCGTCAGCATTTCCAAGTGACAAGTAGCAGTACCCTGACCAGAACGCTGCAGGTGGTTTCGCCGGAAGTAGAAGAAGGGGTCTTGTGGGTAGAGCCGCGCTGCTCCTTTGTGCAGCCAAAAGGTGTGGCTTCTCTGACCGCGCATCTCTGCCTCTCGTTCTCCTTCTTCGACCGGCACCCAGAATACGTGCAACCTCTCCCGACTGACATTGCCAAGACTAATCTGAAAGCTGTAGCGTTCAAGATACCAATCCAAATAAGGGCGAGCGACCAAATTCTTTGCGCGGAGACAGCCATCACAGGTGTGCAACAAATAGTCAGAAATGCCAATCATGTAAGCCCTTTCTTGCTTATATATGCAGCGGATGGAGAAGAAAGCCATCCCCCCACAGTACACTCCATCAAAGCATTTTTGACTGTTCCGCACAGAATAAGAGCTGCGCAGGCTTCAATTATTCCCAAGAAGGGCACTTTTCCCTCCTGCAAGAATTGGTGCCGTGTTTGCTGTGACGGGAATTTTTTCTGCGCAGGTGTCCTTACTGAGTTGCACTTGAGCCTATCCCGTACGGCCCTGAATTTTGGAACGTCTGAGAATGCGGTTCGCCGAACGCAACTAATAAAAGTCCACAACCCCTCTCTTTTGATCGCGTCATTCGGATTCCGTTCTTCTGATCGCGCTCTGCGGGTTCTGGAGCCCCCCCACTTCTCAGATCTCAGTGGAGGTATAAACAAGCAGTACGCATTGAAGAGCAGTCAAGATGGCCAGCCTCCTGCACCAATCATGCCCTCCTCCGCCGATCCCCAAGACACCAATGGTGTTCCTTCCGGTGACTCTTCTTCCAAAGCAGAAACTGCAAATACAAAATCGAACGCTGGGACTGCAGAATTTTCTGCGGAGGACTACCAAGACGCACACGCACCGGCTCCCTTTTTGGCTCTTCGGCAGCCGCAGGAGACGGATAGCAAGACGTGGGACGACCTGCACCAGTACCTACCCCATCTCGATTGCGGGGGCACAGGCATGTTGCTACCGGGGGAGACGCGAACCTTCGCTGTGGTACTCGACCCGTCAGAGCTGCGGTGCGACGCCCACGCTCTGCAGCTAGCTACAGGAAAGGCAGTCGAACGTGAAGGAGAGCTTCGCATGCGAGTCCTGTTGGCTAGCCAAGCCGCCTATGAAGTCAAAATCCCCTGGTCCGTCACTCTCACCGAGTCTCCGATTGCTATCTTGCCTGCGCCTACTGTGAAATTTCCCGTTTTACCTGTTGGCCAGAGGTCATCGGCAACGTTAGAGTTGAAACTGCTAGCCAGCCAACTTGCACTCGGGAGAGTCGAGGTCGAAGGAAACCCGAAGCACACAAGCTTCTCAGAAAATCCGTTAAAAGAAAGCACGCAGTTCACAGCCGTTCTGGTGGAAGTGCAGCAGCCACCGTCCAACCTTAGTGCCCTCAGTATTACCCCAACTCGAGTGTTGCTCTATTCCAAAAAGCGTTGCGCTTCTCTGTTTATCTGTTTCAACCCAACCAACGAATACATGCAAATTCAGCAGCAGATACCGCCTGCTGTTGAAGAGCAAGAGGCTGCGGTGGACCCCGAAGTGTCCCCTCCTCTTTCCGGCGCCTCTGAAACTGTAAAACCTGGAATACAGCCCGGTGGTGGTGCTCCTAGCAGTGAAAAATCACAGCCTCCAGCATCAAGTGGAAGTGCCAAAGGCCGGGAAGGAGCTAAAAAGGCTGTAAAATCCGACGGCACTGCACCGCTCGAATCGAAAGCAACAACCGAAAAGCGTCCGAAGCCGAAGAACAATAAACCAAGCCTCAAGTCTGGGGGAAGCATTGGTGAGGAAGGAGAAGCTGCCACTGTGTGCCCCTCCGAAGACTCTGCTGAGGCTGCTGGAAGTGCGGCAACAGCCGGCGCTGCAGAAGTGTGTAATGATTCTGCTCCGCCCGCGCTGGAGAGGGCTAGTGGCACTGCCCTGAGGGCGGCGCTCCTGAATATAACCAAGGCCGGAGGCGCTCGGTGGACTAGCTTGGAAGAGGACGGGGGTGGCGACTTCTTTGCTTTTGATGACCCACGAGCTTTCCACCACGCGCGGTGGCTCATACCACTCAAAATATGGCGTCTTACACCTAGACAGGTTGACGCTTTCCTTACTGGAAAGGAAGTGGACCCTCCGCACTCATCTGTCTGCGGAGCTTCACAGTCGTTTATTGAGGCAAGGCTCTCCATTAAAATCCTGAATTCCAGTGCCACAGTACTGCCTGTTGCCCGCTTCAATGTCCTTACTCTGGCTCTTGTTGTGGCTGCCCTTAGGTCGGCACCTGCGCAACTCCACCCCTCGTCGTTGCCTCCGTAAAGAACTTGGACTTTGGCTCGGTGATGGTGGGGCAGAGGGTGTTCCAGCAGGTGTGCATCACGTGCGCTCCTTATGCGCCACCCTGTTCCCATACATTTCGCGCCTTGCCGCTGCCCTTGGGCTGCAGGTTCAGCCTGATAAGCGCTGCTCGAGAAGTCTCACCCGAACGACCACTCTCCCTCACCATTGCCTTCCAGCCTAATGCCCCACAGGCAAGAGTTGCACTCAGGTCGTTCCTCTTGGCTTCCCGCTGCAACAGACCGACGCATATTTCCGACCCCGCGACGCGCACTGTGCTTTTCAGAATACATTATATGCTTCTGTGCATACTCTCCATTGAATACAGTCTTGCAGACCTCGTTTGCTTTCATTACAGAACTTCGCCACCGAACTGACACTTCAATCGGCACGCACGAGGCTAACACTATCCCTGAGTGGCTCCGGGATTCAGCAAACAATTGACGTGGTTCCGTTTCAGACAGCTTACGACATGGGAGCTGTGCTCTGTCCGCCTCAGGGCAAAGGTATATCCAGGCTAGACAGTCACATATTGCGCAGCAGCACGGGAGCTACAAGCGAACCTATCGCTATACGGCTTCACTTGTTGCGCATAGGCCTTTCTTGTCCCAAAGCAACATATGAAACTGAAATGCTCGTGTATTTTCTTTCGTCATTTTGGTGCGGCTCATGCTGTTCCTGTGGAAGAAAAACCTGATGCAAACATGCTGACCTGCCACTTGAGCGTTTCTCGCAGGGGCCATATGCGCATCCTCCACAAGCTACACAGTGTCGTTGAAAAATAGAACGTCCACTCCACTGGCTTTCACTCTTGTTCCCAAGCAAAGTCGCTACCCTCAACTGGATTGTGCCAAAGCTGGGACAGGTCTAAGCTGCTTTTCGTGTGAGCTAGAGCAAGGTGTAATTCTCGGATTAAGTTCAGTGGAGCTGGTCTTTCATTTCCGGCCTCAGCGCCCAGGTGCGGTCTTGTTTCTCTCAAACCCCTTTCCTTTGCATATAGGAGAAGCCTAGTACAAACGTGGCGACTCGATGCCACGTGTTAGTAATAAACCCGTAAGAACTTTGTTCATTTGCCTTGAATGCGTTGTAGAGGGATGGCTCCGAGGCGACTTCGAGCTTACGCTTGCCACTGAGGGAAATTCTTCGAGGGTTTTAACCTTCTTTGGTCTTGCAACAGCAAACCCGATATACGTGACCTTGCCATTTTTACCAGGCGGGTCAGTTGGTCCCCCGCGGGAGGTCGCAGCCTGTTCTTCGCATGAAGGCAGCAACAGCCACAACAGCAGGGGCAAATGCTGCTGTGGCGGTTCTGTGGAATCCAAAACCTTTGAGGAGTCGCTACGGGTTGGTGACACGTGTCTGGCATGCTGCATGGAGCTCCTACCACGGCTTTCCGCAGAGCGCAACCTTCTATCCCCTGAAGAGCTGGACTCCTCATGGAGTCGCACCGTTACAGAAGAAGGAAACGCTGCTCCCAAAGCAAGGGGCCAGAGCCCTTCTCATCAGCAAACGCAGCCGGCGGGAGGTGACTCTGGCTTTGAGAAGAAGCGCCTCGAACTGCAGCAGGGCCAACAGATCCTTCACGTCCAATTCGGCTCCCCCTCGAATAGTGGCTGTTTTGAAGAACCCGATGAAGGTTCACGTGGAACGCAAGGCGATAGAGTTGTTCGAGACGGGAGCAGCCAGAGACCGTCCTCGCAAAGCCCCCCATCATCAGGGCGGGATGAGAGGCAGAAAGGAGACGCAGCAGGCTTGCAGCAAGAAGCCGACTTGATAATTGACAATGAAGTAATGCGTACGATAGTTGTTGCTGGTGCGTGGAGTCCCGGACGCCAGGATTTGCCTCCCTACGCTTCTGTCAAGGGTGAAGCATGCGGGAACTTCGAGATTACTATAGACCCTTCACCACACTCTCGGCTGTTTACCTTCGAACCGTCAAAGGGGACCGTCTCACCGGGGAGTCAGCAAATGGTTCGCGTTGGCTTCTCCCGGCAAACCCCAACAAATGGTGAGAGAAATGGGGTGTGGCTTCGCCAGCGGCGGCCAGATAAATCCACATAATCAGTGACAATTTGCTAACAACTAAGGCCGCATCCATTCTCCCAGTGTAGGCCACATGTGCAGACAGATGCCCTGCTCCCCTCATTCCTCCAAAATCCTGTTTGTGTGTCGCTGCGCTTCTAGCGGAGGGACGCATCCGCGATGTACTTAGCCATCTCCCGACGGCGGCGCTAAAACAGCAACAAGCAACCGCTACAGCCAGACTGTGCTTCCGAGGGGGTACAGGAGGAGGGAACCCCCAAAGCCAAGAAGTGGCAGTCATTCGGCTCAGTGCACCACTGTGAAACACAGGACCATGTGTCGCTTTGAGAACGGAGACAGGCTTAGTGGCCATCGGCTTTGTGTCACTCCAGTCAATGCCTTTTCGCAAACTACGCAGTTACTACATTTTCGCCTTCGCTATGTGCAAATTTAGGCTTTTTCCTGCATTTGCCAACCGCGCCTTGCGCCCTGGTGAGTGCCGGTGGTACACAAAGTGATCATCCCGCTAAAAGTGAAGACAGCACGTATCTTAAAACCATATTATGGTGACACCAATCGGACTCAAAGCTATTTGGTGGACGGTTTTTGCATCCCGTCCCAATTTCGAATCCCACAAACGAGCCTGTAACCAGCCCTGCGCTCGCGTGGGCGGCAAGTCGAGGGTGACCTCGCTCGCCACAGGCCACTGGAGAATCAATTTTGTACCTATTGAGCAAATATAAATTAACAATAACTAGGTGGAAAAATTTCGCTGTGTGCAGGGGTATCGGTAGACGATAACCGAATGCTCTTCCGTCCGACCTTGGGGTCTATCGCCCCGCCAATAGGTTCTGTTTGGGTCGGGGTTCCTTTGCTGGGAGGGAAGGCTAATGCTTCGTTTCCTTCGCTGAACCGGATACTAGCTTAGAATTTACTTGGATTCTCAACTATTTAAAGGGGTTCCCAGGGGCTGATCGAAAAATGTGCAGTTCAACTCCGTAGTGTGCAAAAACTCGCTAGAGTTTAATCATGGACGACACGGAGGGGCAGACCGCTGATCACCCCAGTTTTCGAGGACAGGTGTATTTCAGAGCTACTGGTTCTGTTGCTTGCCGTGTTGCAGCACAGCAGTTAGGGCTCCACAATTCTTACCGGAGCCGAAACGTGACACTGGTTAGTAAGGCCCGGAAACGTCGTGTTAAAAAGGCCGTACAGGATGTCAGAAAGAGGTGAGGGTGGCGGTCGGTGGGATCCGAGATCGGGCAGCCGGCCTGGCCACGAGGGGCAGCGCGAGAGGGGCGAGCGAAGGGAAGAGCGTGAGGGAAGGCGGCATGGAGAGGGTCGAAGAGAAGAGGGTCGTCGCCGGCAGCCTTCAGGACCCAGTTGGGGAGGGGAAGGCAGAAGTCCTGGGCTAAGGGGAAGAGGCAGGGGATTCCGACCCAGCCCTAGGCTGCGCCCTTTAACCGAGAGCCTTGAGCGTGCCCTCGAGCCCACGAGCCAAAGGCAAGGCCAGGTGTTGTGCAATGCATGGACCATGCGACTAGAAGAGGGCCTCCAGGCATGGGGATACCCTCTGAGCATAAGAGAACGTGGGACTGAAAGACCGGTGGGTGCCTGCGGCGCTCGTTGAATTTTAAGCCCTCGCAGGACCCTCTCTGCCAAAGCTGCCAGATGTACAAGCCCTTTCTTGTGATGCTGCAGGTAGAGGAACGAAAGGAGCGCAGAAAGATTTTGGCACAGCTCTTGAAGGCGCTTACTGGAATCCAGGAGTCCCCGGAACGCCAGAGACCGAGACGAGTTGTCTCTAGAGGTGCTCAACATTCGGAGCTTCTGCGCTGGATCATCGTCTATTCAGAACGCATACGTGAGCTGATCCGTGACGAGCCAACACGCGAAGTTGCCGTACGTGACGGAGACGCCCCACCGAAGGTATACACTGTCACGTTTGGAGAAGAGCGAGAGGTGGGCTTAACCCCTACGATCCAGATGCAACTGCTGCAGTCTTACAAACAGATACCGCAGGGAGGTTCCCTAGTTTCTGAGGACAGAAAGTTCGTCAACCTTGAATAGGAAGCGTTTTACATAGACTCGCCTCCAATAGCTTCTCCCCGACGGGAAGAGTGGGCAACCTTTGCTACATATCACTGCTACCGCTCATGGGTTGCTGTCTGAAGCTTTCTGGAGCTAACTGGCGTTTTTACTTCGTTGCGGCCATGATGATTACGCTGGAGGCAGCAAACTACCAAAGGGCTTTAGGCCAATCTCAGTACATTAGACTGGACCCCCGTACTCTTAAAAGTGATATGGAACTCTACGGTGTTGATGCAACCCTAATCCAAAGCGACAACGGTGAGCACTGTTTACTGGGAGATTCAAGCATCTTGGCAGGCGGTGTTCCGCTGACCTGGGGGATGTCTCTACAGCAACGCATAGTCCTTGTTGTGTTCATCTTGCCGATTGTTGTCCGCGATAGTCGCATGCATGCATCTGCACACAACAGTAGGACCAGCATCCCACCTTTAGCCGTTTAAGTTAAGTGTTCGCGGGCTTTTCATGCATACACGAGCCTTTCCTGCATCCGTTTTTACTTTGCAGCTTGGCTGCTGAAGGTGACCAGACACGACCGCAAGCTAGAGGCAGGCACTCTAGAGGACCACCTGCGGCAAATGGACTACCAGCAGGCCCAGCTTACATACAGGAACCGCCTGTGCGTTACAGTGCACAAGGGAAACCTGTACAGAATTGTAAATATTACGGACACAACTGCGGACAGAACAACGTTTGAAAAAGGTGGAGCCACCATCACTGTAGCACAGTATTTCAAGGATGCCTATAACGAAAATGTGGACGGGAAGCAGGTGATCACGGCAAAAGAGGCCCGTGGAGGTTCAAGGCTATGCTACTTGCCCGCCAACCTTCTCAGGGTCATCGCACAGGTCCCACAGGTAAATCCTCCTACGGATCAACCCAGCACCTGCCAGGAAACTGCTGGTTCAACTAATTAACTGAGTGTATCAAGGGCTGTCGGGAGCTTCACGGGACCTAAACCTGACTATACCACCAGGACAGCACAAGAAAGATGGTTTGTTTACCGCGGAGACCCTGCAACTCGGGGGAGTATGTGGAGTGCTTGCCTATTTCAGCCGGTGGAGGGCTCACGGGCAATGCTAAGGCCGAAAAGTGCTCAAGAAACTCTGCTGGAGTGCACGGAGCTGGTAAAAGACATATTACGCACGCCAGCAGTGCGAGAGCAGATGGCAGAGCTCAAGGTGCACATTGGCGACAACGGCGGACTCCCCATAGACGTCCACAAGGATGTAAGTAATACGGCACATGAAGCATGACCATTTTGCTACCAATAACTAGGCGCCAGATTGTGAAAATATGCTGGCTTCAGCAGAAGCCCTTGAAAACAACCGGGACCGTGCTGTGGATGGCTCACAGATCACGAGCCTGCGGAAGGTCATGGGGGACGAGCTTCGCTATGGGGAGCCGCGGATTTCGTGGGGTCCAGAAAAGAAGGAAGAACAGCAGGACACTTTCGTTGAACTGACTTCTGACTTCCGCGCTCGGCTTTGCCAGCATCTTGTAAGACTTTGCACAGAACTGGCCATGAACTGCGAGGGCCCTACATTCCACACGGAGGGGACGTTCCACCGACAGGCACTTACCGTGCCAGATGGGGGTGCTTGCGCTCTTGGCGTTCTCCTCCTGCGTGCCACTTCAACTGGGTCGCTTTTGAGGTCCTGCTCACTGCGTTTCGCAGGTTCTACGACACAAGGTGCCCCTTAATAGTAACTGGATGCTTGTTGTCTGCACTGGGCGCAGAGAACACGGGGGATCCAGAGCTGTGGAGTCCATCAAGAACACGATTGAGCTCACGCGACAGAGGTGATTATTGGGGCCTGCACCCCTTGCCGTAAATATCTCTGGCTTGGCGGACAGACACTTTGTGTGCGGTAGCCACAAGCAGTGCAAAGCACCACGATCCACCTGGGCATACGTTGCCTACAGCGTGTTGCATATTCGTGCTTCTTTCAATGAGTTTATGGTGAAAGGGAGAGAAAACAAGTTGGGTGGATGCCAATGTGCTACATACGCAGAATTCGTCACAGGGGTCAACTGACAGTCGACATGGATGCTCCGGCTTTTTGCGAACATTTCATCCGAAGCGAAGCCGATTGGAAAAGGGGAAGGGTTGAGAGGACTAAACGAAGCTTGCGAGATCTGTTCATAAGACAGAGGCATGGTCTACGAGGAGCTATTATTTTGCTCGCCTACGACTCAGATGACACGAACAATAGAGTACGCGTGGCTGCAAAACAGGTAGGCAATGCAAAGCCCCTACCAATGCCATACGCTGTTCCTTCCCCTTCGCCTATAGGTACCCCTCACAGGGTTCATGGAGCGCATCAGGGCAGGCTGCGAGACGCTTTTTCTCCTGAAACGGTGACCTGATNCTTGTCACTGTTGCTGGAGCGGTTTTGCAGGTTTCCGTTCAACAAGACTTTCCAATACAATGTTGCAAGCTTCAAACGCTCCAAGCCTTTAAGAGTAAGCCCGAGGACAAGTCCATGAACATGTGGTGGAACGTATACCTACAGTTTCAAACGAAGATAACCGACGATGCTCTTCGCGCCGGGATTCCATGGGCAGCGGATCAGCTGCTGGCGCCTATTAGGGAAGGCGTGAGACCGGTTAGTGTTTTTCCACCTCCATCACGCCAAGCGCACACACAGATTGACGAGGAAGACTGTTTATACAGAATTAGGTGAAGCCTTTGCCGGCGCTAATTTGCTACTGCGGGCGTTTGTGAGTGTGCAGCCACAAGTATCCGAGGTTGTTAGGGTCATTGGCATAGCGGTTAATTCCTTCGGGTACGTGCCTTATCCAGACCTTCTGTTTCTTGCCGAAATTGCCAACTAAGCTGGTGTGCTGAAGTCTTAAAACATCAGCGACGTCGGTTCGATGCAACCAATGCACTCTGCTCGCACTTTTGCGGCTTTTGGGAACACTGGGGGGCTATACCCTTGCGACATGCGACGAAGTTCCCTCCTTCAGTTCTTCTGTAGAACCTGTGATGCGAAATGCAACCTACACAGGCCTTCTAGCGCTCGCTGCGGGGTCGTCGGCATTGTCGGAGGAAGAAATGCTGGGCATACGCAGTTCGTGAGCCACATCGGTGCATCGGCTCCTGCTAACTACCGCGCTGGGGTTATAAAGGACATGGAGAAGCACTTCAAGCTTTTCTGGGAAAAGCTGACGTTCGAAGAGAGCACAAAGCCGCAAAAGCATGCACCTGTGCACCTTCTTATATACAGGTCTGCTCCCAGCGGAAGCTCGCAAATAAAAGAGGTCCTGGCCCAAGAAGTAACAGCCATCAAAAAAGTCCTTGCAGCTGACCTCGGCAATTTCGAATTCTCCCCAGAAACCAGTGAACTGATCGTCGAACACCCCATGGCTACTGCCTTCCCTGATGCTGAGTTTGCAATTGTCCTGACAGTGTGCCCTGCTGCTGAGATGCGGAGATCCGCTGGCAAGGCGGAAGAAATCACTCAGCACGTAAGGCCGAGACATGAAACCCTGACTTGTCAAGGGGCAACCATTGGATCGGAAGGCCGGCGTACCCTAAGGTTCAAGCTACAGGAGGGAAAAGAGCCTCTGCTTCAAGCGATGGCCATACTGGTCTCTGAATTTGACGTTCCTGAGCCGGAAGAGTTCCAGGTGTGTAGGCATTTCTACCAGTCGATAGCAACGTTGCCTCTCGTCTTCCTTGCGGATGATTTTCTGTCTCCATCTCTCTTCCCGCTATTGCTACAGCACCTGTCCCGTAACAATGGCGGTTATCCCTTTTGCCCAAAATGGCTTTCCTGTCTGCAGGTTGAAGAGGGAGAAGAAGGAAAAAGAATTACACTGCCAGATGATCACCCGATTCTGGTGTATGCAAAGTCTAATTCGAGGTGGCTCAAGAATATCGAGCTGCAGTTTACAAGTACTGCCGACGGCCCCTTGAGTGAGTTCGCAGAGCAGTAATCCCGTAGAGTTGCAGCATTGCCTATATTGCTTACGAGAAGCTGCATGACGCTATTTTCCGCTCACAAGCCGCGTGCTCTGCACACTTGTATCGATGAAGAAGGGCCCCGCTGGGTGAATCCGTCTTTGCAGATGGATTCAAAGGAGTCATTGTCCCGGTGCACGGAGAAATTTATGCGGACGTGAACATCCAGGAAGACGAGTCAAGCCCAGAAGCTGAATCGAGTATAGGGGACACAATTTACCTAAGACAAGCTGCAATCAGCCAGTTGGTTCAGGTACAGTTGCATGCACCTTCACGCTTTCCTCCGTCATATATGCAGCCCCCGGATGCACCTGGCCATAACATGTCTGAAGTACTTCTAAACGTACCTAGGGTTAGCTTCTTAACGTCCGACTTGCTCTCAGTCTTGTGAATGTCTCAGAAGGTATTCATCAACGTTTTGGTGAATCCACATCGTCCCGCGAACCCAATGAAGTTTTTCATGAAGGGGAGAGAGGGTGTACAAGGTTTGCCAGTTGGGGCTTATATTGACAGGTGGGTCCAATGTTTATTCAGTTGCAAGCATGCGTTTGCAAGCACCAATGCAGTCAGAAATGCTTCCATTGCAAATCATGCAGTTGAAGAGCCTTATCACAACTGCCCTGAGGTTCCATAGGATTCTGGCCGAACGGTGTTGTTTCTGTGTCGCACCTGGGTGGCTGCTGTAACCCAGCGGCCCTATTATTCCTGTAGCTCCAAATACGGAAACGCCTGAGGAGAAGTTCTTAATAGGAACAGCAGATCCCACTCGAGGCTCTCCTTCGGCATCGGAGTTCCACGTTGCACAAAGTACGCACGAGATATTCCGATTTCAGCTCCACTATTTTTAATCCAACATAAGTAGCGTTCTTGGGGAGACAGATGCAGCGCCACTCGCCGCTGAGCCGTCATGCTAGGTGCCACATTATGTCTGGGTGCGTTTTCAGACGAAAGTGACTGGTCCAAACATTACCTCGCCGTAGTGTCTTACAAGCTATGCCACATGTACTACAACTGGGCCGGTGAGCAAACTCGGGCTCTGCAGTATTTTACAAGAGTCACGATGACCTGGCGTTGCAGTGCAGATTTGGCACTACTGGGGTGTTTAGAACCTTTTTATTAACAAAGGAAGAAACATTTATTCTTTCTTCTCCTTGCGTTTGTGGCGAAGGAACCGTCAAACACCCGCACCTCCTGCAGATGGCCTTGGCAATTGTACGCCAACACGCCATCTACATCGGGTCAGAAAGCGGGTTTGGACTGGAGTCTGAATTTACACTTGAGCAGCAGCCTGAGGAGGAGACCGCAAAAGAGCGCCCCGCTTCCCCGGAACTGGGAGAGGAACCCGAAATTCGTGAGCGGGTTCAAAAGAGGAGGCAGGAAGCGGGTCAGGAGGCCCCTGCAGCGATGCGGGTGCAGCGGGAAACGGAAGAGGACGCTGAAGAACGGAATGCAGGTCTTGAGAACCTCAAAGAGCTCAAGGAAGCTCTAGAAAATAGAGATAGCATCCTCATGACCACTGCCTTCATGCTCTAGTGGCACGAAGCAACGATATGATGAAACGTTGGGTCAACTGCCAAGTAGGCAGCAGGACTCATGACTTGCATAATGTTGAAGCTCCTCCTTGCGGCGACACACAAATGGACCTCTGTGTCCAAGGCTTGAATTGCCAGGGGTAGCAAACTACACACTTGTGGGCCGCGTCCGAGTTCGGTTTGCTATGGGGTGCGGTTCCTTTCAAGCATATATTCCAGTTGATGCTGCATAATGTTTTTCCTTTCAATCGTCAATCCCGCCAACGGATTGGCAGCCAAGGCCCATCTTCAGTCCTGCGTTGTAAGAGCATTCATATTTACTTGCACATGTATCCCTACAAGCATGTAGGTACATACATTCACCTTCCTACGGGTCCTCGTATATGCACTTGCAAGCTGGAATAAATGCTCAAATGAACTCGGGAGTTTCGCACTCAGTTCACAATGCGCCCCTGTCGGCCCCACAATGAAAAACGTTCCCAGATTCTCCCCTTCGTAGTCCGCATGCTGTTCAGGAAAAAAACTGGCAGCGTCGCCCTTGGCCGAAGTGCCAACTGTGTCTTGAGGCAAACCGGTGCAACCGCATTCCTTGCATGTGCATGAAGTTCGGTGCACAGTTTTTGGTTGTGTTGCACATAGAGTCTAAATGGCCGTAACATCGAACTAACCCGTCAAGATGCACTTCACAGCATTTGAAGGGAATGTGGAATAAAGGCGTCTGGCTGCTACTCCCCCGAGTGACATCCCCCCGAAGGCTCTGTTCTTCAGAATTGTGAGAAAGCCTCTTCTGCATCCCATAGCAAAAGCTTCAATATGCAAAGAAGCATTTCAGCAGATCAGACTCAGCTGATGTCCTCCAGCTGCAGCTGTGATGCCACGCTGAACGCGTGCGCAACAACTGGTGAATCGATTCATAACGGGCACCGTCAGTCAACACATAAACGCATGCGACAGACGGGAGCGCGCCGTATTCTACAAAAAGCGGAAGTTTTCAATGCAGTCACCCCTGTGCACCTGATGAAGAGCTGCCGTCCATTGGCATGGGCACATGACAGGCATATCATAAACTTATCGTCATTACTATTGTTGGCCAATTATGAACACACGCGACCTAGGAGCATTTACATATGCAACTCACGAAAACACCCAATTCAAAAAGCACGTAGGGGCAGAAGCTTCGGCCGTTGCAGACTCAGTACTTTGCGCGCAAAATACTTCTTACACTGGCCACTGAAATTTCGTATACGACAGATATCAATTTGTATATCTGCTCGACTTTAGAGCCCCTTCCCTACCCTGCTCAATATCAGTTTTTCGTCTTCTTAAATGCATTCGATTCAAATTTCACACCTTAATTGTATTTAAGTTTAACTATATGCGCTATATCGACCCGGAAACGCTGTGCGCCAGAGAGAACTACTTCGTTCCTTGCAGTCTGTACGGTCCTACTTGTATAATAATGACATATGAAAATGCAGAAACCGTGGGGAATCAAATAAATATTAATATTCCATTGTTTTTCGATCAATACACGCTCGAAAATATGAAGGAAAATCGAGAATAGCCAACGAATTCCGTGCAGGTTCCATAGGCACCGCAACTGAAGGCGTCGGCGGCGGTCCAGTCCCTGTGGGGAGGCATGCATGCACGATTATTTATTTCACTTCTTTTATTCATTAGGCAGCGCGAAATGCAATTAGTTGAGCGCTCATACATTCAGTAACCAATAGTAGTAACTGTCATCTCGCTACAACGGCCCTTTCTCCTTCTTGGGGCCCCTCAGGCACCCCACACGCCGTTACCTCTGCTGTTTTAATGACCCTCCCCTTCCTTCGTTTCAGCAAATTGTAAATTTATTTTTGACTTTTGTTTTAAGTATTTCGCCGGGCGGCCCAGGGGGCCGCACGAGACGAATGCGGGCTGCAGAGGCAACGGTGTTTGCTTTTTTTTCTCGTTAGAGAGATCTGTTGTCTATTTTCTCCGTTCGTTCTCTTTCCTTCTGTGATTTTTCCCCACCACCGCTTGTGTTCAGATACACAAGCGAGCTAGAGTGGGGACGGGAGACCAAAATGCAGCAGCAACAGCAGCAGCAGCCAGAGGCTGTTTTCAAGGAAGCTGTAGCAGCGGTGCTGGCTCAATGGTGGGGTATTCTAAACCCAAGTTGTAGATGCATTTTCTTTAACAAGCATTTCATCTGCACCTAAACAATAAGAATGCCTTCGCATTGCCACAACTGCCCAGCAGCAGAATCTTCTTCTTAAACTACCTGCAGCGGGCTTACAACTTTTGCCTTGCGTGACTCTTGCTGCTGCTGCTGCTGCTGCTGCTGCTGCTGCTGCTGCAGGACCCTGTTGAATCTGGCTGTTGAGCAAGGATGGGGGGGCAGAGAGTCCTACAAAAAGCGGCAGCAGCTATACGAAGACCTCATAGCCGAATTTCGCGACAGTAAGCCAGAGAGATATCTTCAGCATCTTCTCTCCCTGCTGTTGCTTAGCGTGCAACAGCAGCAGAAGCAGATGTCTTAAATGCAGCAAGGACAGCAGCGTAAACAGAAACAGCACCAAGTACAATAGTAGCTTAACCATAATCCGCGGTAGAAGCAGCAACAGCTTCAACAGCAGCAGCAGCAGCAGCAGCAGCTCCAGCCTCACCGTAAGCGGCACCAACAGGGGGACGGGTTGTGGTATTAAGGAAGAGCTTTACTTCTTATTTGTGCGGTGTACAGACAAAAGAGTAGATGCGGAGGACTTGGCTTGCAGCCTATCAGAACGGCTAAGCCGCGAGTTTTCGGTTTCTGTTGAAGACGACAGCGACGTAGGAACACGAAAATCCCTGCTGCTGCTGCTGCTGCTGCTGCTGNCTGCTGCTGCTGCTGCTGCTGCTGCTGTAGCTCCTGTTTAGGCTGCTGCTGCTTCTGTCTATGCTGCTGCTGCTTCTGGTGTTGCTTCTGCTAGCTTTACCTCTCGTTCGCAGTTCGCTGCAGTCTCTCTACTGCTATTGGAAGAGGAGCTGCCTGGGCCTTGTCGGGGGCCGCTCACCCAGCGCAACTTCTGCTGCTGCTACTACTGCTGCTGCTACTACTGCTGCTGCTACTGCTTCTACTGCTGTTTCTGCTTCTGCGGCGTCTGTACAGCTGGAGGTAGCGCAGCTGCTGGTGGAGCTGCACGAACAGACGAGCCGCGGCTGCTTCGATTTGGCTGCGATGGTGCAGCAGCAGCAGAAGCAGCGGGCGACAGCTGCCGCGCAAAGTCGGTGTGGGAATGCGCCTGCAGCAGAAGGTAAGAACATGAGTTCCTCCTCCTCCTCCCGTTGCTGCTGCTGCTCTTGCTGTACTTGCAGCTCTTCTTAAAAGGCCATTGAACAGTCGCGGCTGGAAACAACGGGGTGGCTCCCTGCTGCTGCAGCGACTGCTGCTGCTGCTGCAGCAACAGTCTCTGCGCAGGGAGAAGTTACTGCTTTCTTCCTACCAGTTTGAGTCCGAGTGCAACTGCGCGTGCTCTGTGCTGCTTGTGCTGCTGCTTGTGCTGCTGCTGCTGCACGTAGGTGACTGCAGCATGAGCGACGGCAGCGACGAGGAAGAGGCCCTGGAGAACCTCATGTCTACAGTGGAGATAGCGCAAAACTCAGATGGGGGCATCGGTACATCCAGACTAGCTGCCGAGGGTTTAGGGTTTAGGGTTTAGGGTTTAGGGTTTAGCGTCTGGGCTTGATGTTAAGCAAAAGGGAGGAGCGGGAGGATCTTATGAAACGCAGCGGCAATCTACGTGTGCTCTTTGCATGCAGCTTCGCGGACACGCTCTCGTCTAGCAGCAGCGGCAGCAGCAGCAGCAGCTCAAGGCGAAGTGCAGCGAGAGCAACAGCAACCGGATGCTGACGGGTGGACGACTGTGTCTGCAGGAGGCCGCAGCAGGCGACCCCGCTGAAGCTGATGGGGCAGCAGCTACAGCAGAAGCAGCTGAAGAAGCGGCAGCAACAAATGCAGAAGCAGCAGCAGCAGCAGCAGCAGCAAGAGCCGCTGCAGTGGACTGGTGCTGCACGCGCAGCAATGACCACAACAAATGGCAGCAGAATCTTTCTCTGCAGCTGCTGGTGATCGAACGCTTGAAGGCTCATTCGCTGCATGCTTGCAAGAAAACGAATAGCGAATAAGTTGAGGCTTTTTGTACCCGTAGCAGCAAAGTTGCTGCTGCGTTTTGCAAAGTTTGCCTCAACTCGAGGGTTTAGGGTTTATGTTTTATGGTTTAGGGTTTAGGGTTTAGTAGAAGAGAGCGCGAAGGACCCCTGCAGCTTCAGCTGGGTCCAGGAAAAAGCTGCGCTGCTCAGCGGGCCAGCGGGCTATAGTTGCTGCTACTGCAGCAATCTGCAGAGGGAGCAGCAGCAGCAGTAGCAGCAGCAGCAGCAGCAGCAGCGGCAAGAGCAGGAGCAGACGCAGTAAGGGGGGAGACACTCAACAAACAAAGAGACTGACACAATAAGAGCTAGAGACAGGCAGAAGACAGATACAAACATACTAAAGGAGACAACCTAAGATACAGACGAAAAAGAAGGTATATAGAGAAGCGACACAGCAGAAGTGCATACAGACAGAGGCAGAAACCGAAGACAAACAAAGACAGAAACGAACAAAGACAAATGACAGCCAGAAGCAAATTAGCTGCAGTATTCATGTAGTCTGAGACCGAGATATAAATATAGTCACGTCCGCTACACAGCTCCTGACACTGCACATACCATTTGAGGTGTACAGACAGCTGCGCCTACCTGCGCTGGCTGAGGTCGCGAAGCAGCAGCAGCAGCACCTGCTGCTGCTGCTGCTGCTATGTCAACGGGGGCGAACAGCAGATGCATCCAGGCTTCAGAGGCCTTCTGCTGCGCCTCCCGTAGACCTTTCCACTGCTGCTGCATGCGAAGTTCGTACCTGCAGCAACCCCAGAAACAGCAGCAGCAGCAGCAGCAATAGCGGTAGCAACAGCACCAGCATCAGCAGCAGTACAACAGCAGAAGCGCAGTAATTCCACGCCTGCCGTCGTGAGTGTGAGTGAGACTTGGTGTCAGATACAAACTGAATATAATTTGTTCAACAGCAACAACAAACCAGCTGCAGCAGCAGCACCAGCAGCAGTAGCAATGGCACGAGCAACACTACCAGCAGCCCTCACTCCTCAACATCTGTGGCCGCTTGCTGCTGCTCTTCGCTGCTGAGCGCAATGCGTGCCTTCAGCGAGGCGTCGCCCGCATACACCTGAAGGTTTACCGTCTCTCCTCTTGACACCTACGACCAGCAGCAGCAACGGCAGCAGCACAACAGCAGCAACGCCGCCAGCAACAGCAGCAGCAACAGCAGCAAAAGTAACAGCAGCAGTAGAAACACCAGCAGCAACACAACAGCAGCAACAGCAGGCTTTGAGGCCGTAGTGCAGCAGCAGGTCTATTGTGCAGTGGAAGGTGGGGAGAAATGACGGCAGAGAGCCCGATAGTGCTTTTTCAGCAGCAGCAGCAGCAGCAACAACAGCAGCAGCAACAGCAGCAGCAGAGCCATCTTGAGGACGCTGTTTTGCCTCCAGCACGAGAAAAAGAGACTCACCTTTTGTGGCTTCAAATAAAACATCGCCTGTCTCCATGCTTGCGTGTAGTGATGAATTTCCCATGCTTCTTCATCAGCAGCAGCAGCAGCAGCAGCAGTAACGGCAGCGGCTCCGTCAGGCTGTTGCTGCTGCGGTTGCTGTTGTTGTTGCTGCTGCTGCTGCTGTATCAGGCTCCTTATGCACTGCGGCTGTGTAGAGACAGTGAAGTCACCGATAGAAAACTCAAACCAAAGGGCAAGCGCACTGGCTGTGCCGCTGCGGAGGGCCTCGAGGGACAGCAGCTTCTGTGCTGCTGCTTGTCTTTGTCTCTGGAGAGTTCCCGCTACTTCGGGACCTGCAGCAGCAGCAGCACCAGTAGCAGCAGCAGCAGCAATAGCAACAGAAGCAGCAGAAACCTCTGTTTGTAGAATCCGGTGCTACCGTTGCAGCCTCTTCCTACACAGGCTGCTTGAGGACCAGTAGCAGAGGCGCAGCAAGAGGCAAGCCTACAGCAGCAGCAGCAGAAGAAGCAAGAGGCACAGAAGCAGCAGCCAGAAGCGGAGAGCCGGCGCAGCAGCAGCAGCAGCAGCAGCAGCATCCCGGAGCCGAAGCAGCATAGCCCCTTGCGGAGGGGCTTCTCTCAACAGGCAAGACAGTCGGGGTAAGGAGACGCGTTGCAGCAGCAGCACCAACGGAACACACGACAGCAGCAGCAGCAGCAAGAGCCAGAAGGCTCAGCTGCAGCACAGGTAGAGAAGTAGCAGCAGCAACAGAAGCAGAAAAGAGACAAACCAAATTCTGCGCTCCAGAGGACGACAGGCTCCGTCAGCAGCACGAACTCCTCCTCGTCGAGGGACACTTCAAAGTAGTCTCCATCTTCAACTGTTGCAGCAGCAGCAGCAGCATGCCACACACGCGGTGCTGCTGCAGCTACTGCATCTGCTGTTGCTGCTGCAGCCCCTGAAGCAACATCTTCTGCTGCTGCGTCGAACCCCAGCTGCAGCACCGCCCCCATCACTCGTACGCGAGACAGCAGCAAACCGGCGTCCTTCTTACGCAGCAGAGCCTGCAGCGATCCGCCAAAGGTCACCAGCAGCAGGAACAGCAGCAGCAGCAGCAACAGCAACAGCAGCAGCAGGAGCAGCAGCAGCAGCAACTCGGGGTGACGGCCCACAGCTAGTGTAGATGCATGCAATGGAGCTCTATGGCTTGAAACGGCTTATATGACATGCTGCTGCAACAAATGCAGCCTCTGCTGCTACTGCTGCTGGCGTTGCCGCAGCTACTGCATCTTCTGCTGTTGCCGTTGCTGCTGCTGTTGCTGCTTCTGGTGTTGCTGAAGAACCTGATGCTACTGTTAGTGTTGCTGTTTGTACTGGCGTAGCTAGCACTGTTGCATGTGTTGCTGCTGCTGCTGCTGCTGCTGCTGCTGCTGCTACCGGTGCTGCTGCTTGTGCTGGTGGTTGGTGTCAGTTACCTTCGCTGCATATTTGGAGAAGACAGAAATGCCTTCGCCTGGGCCCGCGTTGTCGAGGGCGAGGGAGGCGAAGAGGCCGGGGCAGACAGGCAGCCTGCAGAGGCCCCCAGGGCTCTCAGCACCCTCACTCTGCTGCTGCTGCTGCTGCAGCTGCAGCTGCTGCTGCAGCTGCTGCTGCACCTGCTCCTTTATATTACCACCAGGCTCCATCCGGTGGACCTCCGCAAACGCGAGAAGGGCCGTCGTGTCTTCAGCTTCTGTGACAGAACCAACAGTAGCAGCAACAGCAGCAGCAGCGGCAGCAACAGCAGCAGCAGCACCAGAAGCAGCAGCAGCAACAGCAAGCAATCACAGCACGACTGGGCTGAGTACAACTGACTGTCGCTTAGCGTTCCGCCCCTAAGCAGAGAGTTGCTAGGAGATATGAATAAACAAATTGATAGAATAATAAGAATAATAAATAAACAAATATTTGTCTATTCACCCACTCATCTATTTTTGTTTTTTATATATTAAAAATTAATTAATTTATTAATTTATTTATTTAAAATTTTTATTTTACCTTCTGGGGGTAAGAAAGAGAAGAGCGGCGTCTGCTTGGCCACAACCGCTTCTTTCAGCTTCGCTCGTTGCAGCAGTGCGGCTTCACTGGCCTTGCTGGAGTCAGCAAGCTGCTGCTGCTGCTGCTGCTGTTGCTGCTGCTGCTGCTGCTGCCCCGCTGGTGCTGCTGAGTTTAGCTCCTTGAACGATCGCCAGCCGCCTGCAGCCTCTGCTCGCTCTTCAGGCTTCGGCTGTAGGGGCCCGAGGGTTTGCTGCAGCACAGCAGCAGACAGTTGCCGGTCCCCCCTCACTAGCCACCAAACAGACAAAGCCTCCGTAAACCCTAAACCCTAAACCCTAAACCCTAAACCGCTTTGGTATGATGAGCACCAGTAGTTCACTTCCACTGAAAGCGCCAACAGCTGAGTGTTAATTGTAAGGTTAATATACACTGCACCAAGAGCGACAAAGAGACACACCAGCAGCAGCAGCAGCAGCAGCAGCAGCGCCATCAGCAGTAGCAGCAGCAGCAGCAGCAACAGTTGTCTCTGCAGCTATCACGTGACAGGGAGTTGAGCCCGCACCTCGGCGTTGGAGAGCAACAGCTTCTTCATCAGCTCGAAGGCCCCCGAGAGGGGCTCAGCAGCAAACAGCTTCAGCGGCAGCGGAGCCCCACAGGTCCTCACCTCCCTCATCTCTGCTGCGCAGCAGAAAGCAGCAGCTGCTGCCTGCAGCGCGAGCAGTGGCAGCAGCACGCAGCCGCTG